AAACAGAATTTTCTGCTAGTGGAGTAATAAAACTACTACCTTGTTGGCAAAAGTTCCAGCCGGAAAAGTTTACTGCATACTGAAATAAATTTGTTCAAACGTAGAATATGAAGTGACTTCCGAATACATGTGGATCATATTTGACTCATGCCGTGTCTTTTGTATTGAAAATTCACACCTTTAGGGGAAACAAATGTGACAATCTGTTTTTTTTTATTACAAACCTCGTATATCTGTGTTCTTTTGTAATCACCACTCTTAATTGTTAATTGTTTTTTCAAGGTACGAAGTGATCTAGTGGCAAATATCTTGAAATCGTATACGAACGCTTTACGATTCGGACGTAATCATCTGTTTCATGCTATGCCACGAATGCTCACCATTTGGCTTGACGTTAGCCAGAAGAAGGTTCTGGAATTTTACTCATCATAATTTTATTCCGTCTTACTATATACCAAAGGCGTGTGCGGCGCAGTGGTCGGAGGCGCCCTGCAGCACACTCGTGGAATCGACCCCCGCACCCACGGCTCACCAAAACTTTCCATCCATCCGGTGTTGGGAAATTGGTACCAGAGTTGTCTGGGAGAATATCAACACTGGTTCGATACATCGTCAGGTCACCGCGAGTCATTTTAAGGGCCAGATATGTATTCAATCACTTCCAAACGATGTTTAGTCAAGTCGAATGCATGGCGCCTCCCTAAGGGATTGATCAACGCCGAGAGCTTTATCTTTTTTTTATCCTTGCGCCATAGTATTGTGTAAGGTATTTCTTACAAGATCCTTTTTTAACTACATTCAGACCGAAGCTATCCAACTTCGTGCTCCTGACGCACGTTCGACTGAAATGAATAAACGCGATAACGCTGATATTGCTCAAGTGGGTGCTTTCAGACATTCTAACACCATTAAAATTATTTGTTTATTCTTGTTCTTTCAGATGAATTCCGAGATCTCTCGTGCATTCCGCCAACTTGACCCGTATGCATTCTATACTGCATTTCCGCAATTGATCTCACGTATCGTTCACCCTAATGCATCAGTGTTCTCAACTTTGAAGGTTTGACGGTTAATTTTATTCCCAGAAATTTCGCTTTGATGGAAATGTGTTTGAAGATGAAATTGCTGTGCTACTTTAATATTGATCAAAAGATTTATCCGTAATAGCTCCCACAAAGCCATCTTTTAGAACATTCTGAAATTCCTTATATAGCAAACTGACGCTTCAGTATTTCTGATTTTGCATATAAAGTTTAGAAATTCTAATTTCTCAATTTTTAAGTTATTATTTACTGCCTACTCTTTTTAACGGCACTCCCTGGAAAGGACAATAGCGCGTTCGTTCCCCACCGCATACACCTGCGGTCCGGAGTTTTGCAAAATTTCTAATTCCTCAATATAACTCGTATTTCTATTCATATGTTTCTAGGCTATATTAGCAGATCTGATCTGCAGATATCCCCATCAATGTCTGTGGCAGTCTATTGCCGTTTACAGATCTGGTCCTTGGCAGATGAACATAAGACAGGAACGGTTGGTTTTTGGTTTCATTTAACATCTGTCGATTATCTATCAACTGAAGCTGTGATGTATAAGGTTTAGCAAGAACTGTTATCTTCACTGTTTATTTTCTGTGTACGTCAAAATTAAGTCGTTGTATAACCATTTAACCATTCGTTAGCAGTTAGTTATAGAATGTTATAAAATGACATAATTTCCTTGCGTTCAGTGGTGACTTCTATGGTATTAATAATAGTTAATGTTAACCTTTTAAACACCAAGTTTTTATACAACACAGCTTGTCTTTTAGGCAATTAAATATTCACTATTGCTAGTTTTATTTTTGAATCCTTTCGTACTGTAAATATGACATCATGTTTTCAGATGTGCACAAGTGTTTACGGTTGTGAAGAACAAGCATCAGGACATGGATCAACTCATAGACCAATACGACTATGTAGCAGCCATTTTGATAGAGTACGTCAGACTTCCTAGAAATATCTGGAAAATCCTAGTTTTGTTATTTTCTAAGCACTAGCTACAGACGTCAATCCTTTTGCAAGGAAGCTCATTTTTCGGTGACTTACGATAATTTCTCCATTTCTAGAGTATTTCAGGTTTCCAGAACTTTGTAAGTTTATAGAAGGGACGTTGCTTTATCGCATTTATTGCATGCATAAGTTTTATATAGTGTAATTCCAAATTCAAATTCCTTTTTAATTAAGGCTTTCAGAAAATTGGCGAGAGAATTTAAATTTTCAAAATTTCCGATAAAATGATGGCTGCAACGCGATCTACTGGAGAAAATGAAACAATAAGAAAAAAGATCTCTCGTGTAGGCGAAGATTTGTGGGTTTTGTGGTTGCCATTAAAAATTGGTAAAGTTCGCTATGAACTGAGATATGTTAACCTAAATTTGAGCTGGCATTGTTTTCACATCGCGTGACTCGCATAGAGGACGCTTCTTCGAGTAACCGTATAAAAAATGCATACTAGGACGGATTCACTTGGAAGCCGAGGTGTGAAAGGCTCCAAACTGTAGTATATCGTAATATTACCACTATAAAATTTAGAATTATCGCGACAGATTGGGTTTCTTGGAAATTACTGGTTTTTTTTTCGTTCTTTAGTTCTTTAGGAGCTGTGAACTTGTCTAACTTATAGAAGACACATAGTCCTGCCAGTGTGTGTAGTAATCTAGCTGAGGGAAGTACTATCAGCACCCTTTACGGGTGATTGCTGATAAAACCTATAAAACACAGCTGACAGAAAGCACTCACCGGAGAGGACAGTAGCGTCTTCAGACACCTGCGGTCCGGAGTTTTGCAAATATCTCAGCATCATTGAAGTCATACATACATATCTATGTATATATACATATATATGTGTATATATATATATATGGATATAACTTTTCTAAGATTTAATTTCGGGTTTTTTGGAAACTCCAACAAGAAATTAAAAGACGAAATTAATATTTAAGCATTTTCAAACGCCGCATCATCAAGCAGGAACGGCTTCAGTCGTAAATATTATCGAATCGTTCTGAACGAGAACTCGCTTGTTCAGCTGTTTCGCTACTAGAGATAGCAACGAAAAAACAGAACGAATGATTTGGCTTCAGATAGTTGGATTTTTAGAAAACTAGTTTTTTGTGGTGGTAGTATAAACCTGTATATTAGCAGTGTAGTAGTGATCTGTAAGTGAGGAAGAATTGAAATGGCTTCTTGTTCAATGAATAGAGTTCCCTATAAGCTTAGATGTCTTGTTGGAAGCTCGGGTACTTTATTGTCTTCGGGTGCGGACGCTTTGAAATTAATCAGCGTTGTTTTAAGAGGATTTTGGTTACATGAGTGGTATACTTTTGTGTTAATTGCTCCGTGGTTATTCATTTCCAGGTTGGCGGAGAAGAAACTAAAGAGTTATGGTTCATTCTCGGACCTATCACGTGTTTTCCCTCGTCTTCACAACTTCTTTTCAACTGGTGAACTGCAATGTGAACTACTTAGTATGCTTTCTCACTAAAACTGGCGACTTTGTCATTCGAAATATTTCTTTCCCCTTATTCCCTTTTCGTGATGTGCCGTGTGAAACAACGGTCAAGGAAAATATGTTCCACAGATGCTCTTTTTCAGTGGGGGCAAAAGAGCGTAGGTTGTCAGGTATGCGTATTGTCTCGCCATCAGTTATGATTCCACTGACAGAGATGCTTGAACATGCTCTACCAAAGGAACATGACAATAAGGTTACACATTCTTTCGAATGGTTTTTTGTTAGAATTGCATTTTTCTAAATCTTTCATCTAGGTATACCAATTCTCTCAATTTGTGATGGATGCGTCAACTCCCCAAGAATCGTCTTTACAGTTACCAGAGGTGTTTATTTCCAGTGTAGACGAAGACTATTTGGTGAGTGGATAATGAAAGAGGTTATAGATAACTTTAAAAACGTACTTAGGGAAATCATCCGAGATGAACAGAGGATGTGTACTGTCATTTTGCCCAATAAGTATGATCGAAGGGTCTTCGTAATTGCGCTCGGATTTGCTTTTTGAGTGGTGTCAAGATCGCGAGGATGGTATTATTGTGCGCAATGTGAACTTTCAATAAGGCCTTACAAATCGAGCAAGCATTATGCTAGAAATCTTGGTGTATATACCATGGGGTCGTTATACCTGGGGTTATAAAGGTCGCCTAGAATAGCAGCTGTTTCTTTTACAAGTTTCTACAGGGTACGCAAAAGAGTTGGAGACTGTGGAAACCAATTCATTCTTACTAGTTATCGTTGATCAAACACTGGACCAATCTAAGAAAAACTATCCGATTACCTAACTGCGTGACTACATAAATCTTTTTTTGCTGTCGACGGTAGCTATTTGTTCAAGACATGTCATTGCTACGACATGTCAGGCTATTCAACTTACTATCCATAAACCACTTGAGAGATGATTTCTAATATACAGTCATCGCTCACAACACCATGTCGAACTAGGCCACTCAAAACTCTCAAAGCATCCCGCGCCAAATTCCAGGATAAGATTAAATGACCAGTCATATGTTGAGAGTTGGCGACGGAGAGGATGATAGGAAGGTGGAGTGCACGCAAGAACAGTTCAAGTGTTTTGAATAACCACTGCCAATAGGATGAATTGGCATGTTTGTAGCACATGTCCACCATATGTGTCCACAGTTAGTTGGGATTTTAAGTTCCCAGATTACCATTGAAGTCAGCATGCTCCGTATGCATCAGTACCATGCATGATAATGACGATGAAAAAAATAAATGGAAGCTGTACTGGTTTCCGCACGATTGATGAATATTTGTTGAACCTCACTCCTGGCCAATTAAACTCCCGTCAGGAATAGCTAAATTGGGACCAGATTTTTCTGCGAAAAGCCCTCTCTAATACAAAGAAGCCCGGCCACTACATTATTGTGAGCTACTAGCTCATTAAAACCTTGGGAGTTTCGATCTAATGTTATATTTTGTTCTTTTTTGAGGTTCTAAAATCCATGTTGAAACCGAAACGTATAGCTCTTCGAGGCGGTGATGGTCGTAGGTACCTTATTATGTGTAAACCGTGCGATGAATTACGCAAAGACGCTCGATTTATGGACGTTAATAGGGTAGGAATTCCACACGTTTCTTGTTTACATTTTTTTATTTCTGCTTGGAATGGCAAATAAATAAGAGATTTGACCCAGTTCGAGCCATATAACTGACAGAATCGAATCTCAGTTCGTAGCAACTTTATCTCTTCTAAGAAATAGCAAATCTACTTATTAATTTGCTGAAACACTTTTCTAGAGCTAATAAGTCGATTTTTTTAATCTTTTGTCAAACTCGTACTTGAATAGCCAGTAAAACATGCGTAATTTTGTCTCGCGGGATACGACAATGTTTCCTAGTGCGTAGTTAACGTTAGCGGCTGTCGTGCTTGCGCTAAGTTCTTTTTAAAAAGTCGGACTTTTGTGGACTTTATTTCTAAGACAGTTGAGATGAAACTATTCTAGAGAATTACATAAAACCTTAAACTAGTAAGGGGAATAGTCTTTACAATATTTCCAGATGCTTATGCTGTAAACTACTCCAATTGTTCGGAAAATTATTAGCAATTTTCGAAAAGCCAGCATCTTTGTAGATCTGTTAAGAGTATCCAGAATGTTACGCTTTTGTTCTATCTTTTAGGATATTAATAGTGTGCATATAACCCTATTTTGATTTGCTTCAAATTCAAACTTCAATTTTCTTATGGTTAGATTGACTCAAAACGGATTGCTTATGTTCTTATTTGAATGCATCTCAATACTGATGCTTCTTTGTAGGATGCTCTTCAATAGTAGTTTGGTGTGACATCCAAATATGAAAACATCATGAGCAAAATCATATTTCATCCATCGTATAACTTATTCCTCACAAGAAATATTTACCGAAAATTTATACCCATACTGTTTTTGAGCTATTCAGATGATGAACAGCCTAATGCGGCAAAATGCTGATGCTCGTCGTAGGCAACTAACAGTGCGTACATTCAGCGTCATTCCCCTACAGGTATTATACATTCATTCATTTTCCTTCACTACGAGAGCTTTCTCACTATACTTAGCTACTCCGTAGCTGCATTGCTTTGTTTAGTTTACTAGGGCTCCTTGTTTTTTCTTCCCAGTAGTCTTCCAAATCGTAAGTAGACTAGATAGGTTGGAGAGAATTGCATGGTTTAACTTATAATACACTTCGGCAACAATCGATGACATAACATGTTTCGCTTTATGATGCACTTCACAAGTCGATATTTAAACACGAAGAATCCTCAATAGACTCATTTCTATAAAATCCAAACAACAAGAAACATGACCAGTAATGTTCAAAACGCACAAAAGCGATAACAACCATAGCGTGACGAGCATTTTATTACACGTACAATACGCCTTGTAATGACTCGCGAAAGACGGTATTTAAAATAATAATTATGACGAACCATAGTAGTGCTTTATGACTTGATTTTGCAGATAGTCTCGTTATTACGCTGAAAAAAGAAGTGATAACTGAGCGTATAAGTAGTCCAATAGTTTATGGACAAGAAAATAATCCCTGAGGAATGCGCCATGCATTCTACTTCATTGAGCATCGTTAGAGATGACTGAATACATGTGTGACCTTTACTACGACTCGCAGTGGGCTACGGACGTATCCAGTCAGTGCTGTAATCCCCTCAGACAAGTCTGGTACCAGTTTGCCCACCCCGGAAGGATGGAAGGCTTGGTGAGCCTGGGACGCAGAGATCGATCCCATGTGTATTCCAGGGCGCTTTTGACCACTGCGCTACACGCGTCTCCTTTTTACAGATAACCTCTACGAAGTTCTACGTATCGCGAAGTTAGGATTAACTAGAAGAATCACGATATCATAATGCTTTAGCTGCTGTTATTCTCACCTAACGAATTACTCCACCTAACATTTCGTATTCATGTACAAAATATGTCGCACCTCTCTCTCTCTCTCAAACTTTAACCGCTCACGCTCCAGCGCTATCGTCTCCTTTTCCAACTGAGCACGAGCAAGATCTTGCTTTATTTGGAACAATTTCAGCTCTTCAGAATATTGTTCCTGTCAAAATAAGTCGTTTATATGTTAACTTCCTGAAATCACTCCAGGATGCTGGTGGAATTGTCGAATGGCTACCTAATTTAGTACCATATCGTGGTGTACTACAGCCACTTTTTGAAGAGAAAGGAGACCCTCTACCAGATGCCCAGTGGTTAGTGAGAACTTGAAAAATGTGACCGTTTTAAGAATGCATTATTTTTCAAGGTTTACTAATTGGAATGCAAATTCGCCTATCGAGGATCGTTTGGAAAGAATGAGATCGACATTCTATCAGCGCTATCCACTTGTCATGGCGGAATGGTTCAGGTTAAGAATCCACATTAACAGTATATCAGTTTCAAACAGAAACAATTACAAGTATTTGTAGCACAACCAACAATTACTCACTTGCTTAGCCCTTTCCAACTCAAAGCGCTCGCGCTCGGTTGCTATGGTTTCTCTCTCTAACTGAGCACGAGCAAGATCATTTTTAATTACTATGAGTTTCAACTCTTCCAGAGCCAGTTGTTGTCGAAGCAACGACAGTTTTATTTCCTCTTCATATAGAACTGTCCGACGATCCATAGAAGGACTTGGGGATTCCTTCGCTCTTCTAAATCATGCAAATTGTTGTCCTGAAACAAACATAATAAGGGAAAATTCTCACGATGTTTTTGCCATTTTACGCGGAGTTTTTCTAGGCATTGCTGTTGTAGAGGTAGCGCTTTCTTCCACATCCTCCATCTCCATAAAAGCTTCGCTAGAAGGTTGTTCACCTGCTGGTGTACCTTCTCGTGGTGTCAGAACTTCAATCTGCATGATGAATAAGCATCGGTTAAGAACAGTTGATCACAAATGAATCCATAAAATCTTACCTTATTCCATGTACAAGGCGCATCTTCATCGTTGAGATCACAATCATCGTCATCTGCAAATGAATGAACTATTTGATAGGCTTTGAAAGAATATTTGAAAAGCTTTTGAAATGTTTGATAGGCTTATTAGAAGGATAAAGTTCTCGGCGTTAATCAATCTCTGAGGGATGCGCCATGTATTCTTGATTAAGCATCTTTGGAGGTGACTGAATGCATATCTGGCCTTTACAAAGACTCGCGGTGGCCTACCGATGTATCGAGCTAGTGTTGCTATCCCCCAGACCTGGTACCAATTTGCCGACCCTGTAGGGATGGATAGGCTTGGTGAGCCACGGGCGCGGAGATCGACCCGATGTGTGTGTTGCGGGACGCCTTCGATCACTGCGCCACACGCCAATGATAGACTTATTAGCCGAAGCAATTCCACATTATGTCGATTACTTATGTCGCATGTTATGTTCTGCAAATGTTTTTGATTTCCGAAGAGCTCGGAAAGGCATACTATCGTGGTTTCATTACTCCGACTAGAAAGCTTTGCAAATGAAAAATATTTCTTATTAGCGATGGCAACACTTACGGAGACCTAGTAAACCGGAACCATTTGCCTTGTTTCTGCGGCATTCGTACAGTTGATGAAGGTATGAGGGTAAACTGTTCAGTACAGCCTCTTGTCCTTCATGAATTCGAGCTCTCTGAAGAGCAGACATAAAGTCTTAAAACAAATGTTAAGGTGCCAACCTGTTTCTGATCATAAACCTCATGTTTCCGAACCCTCTTGCAGTCCGCTCGAAGTCGTTCCTCAATTTGCTTCTCTGTACGTTGATAAAATCCCAGATTAGAAACTTCTCTTGCAAATCGTCGAAGCAGATTCTTCTTATCTGATTAGACACATTTTAGAATTGAATTATAGCATGAAGTAGATGGACGAAGGAGCTAACAGAATGAATGAAAGATTCACCTTCTTTTCCTCTTCCGTGGTACTCTTCATATGAATCACAATAGAGTCTCATCAAAAGCTTTAGTTCTAATTCGTGAAAAGGCGGTGCTTTTTTACGATCTTTCATAACGGAACTACTGAAAAGAAATACAGACTCATTGGACATTCTGAGACGAAACTATTGATTATGGAACTTTCATCCTGGAAATTCATGTGGAGATGTATTGTGAGAGCGAGATTGGATGAAAATACGTAAAGATGAAGCACCTTCCAACGGTTTACAGCCTCATCGTGGATGGGAGCTATTCCTGGGTGTCGGGTTGCGATGTATAGCGGGGGATACATCCTCCCGCCAGGGTCTCGTAAACTGAGAAAGAGTTCGACGTTTCCTTCAGGAAGCTGAGCTAGAAGTAAACCAATACCAGCATCCACCACCGTCCTGGTATCAAACTAGTCGCATGGTGGCAAATCTCCCTCTGATCCATGGCGACTGCCTAGTGGTGACGAGCTGGGGCAGATTTTCGTCAGGTTGTCCTCGGAACTCCAGGGAAACACAATGGCTAAACCAGCAAAACTCCGAAACAATGGAGAATATGCTGGGGCCTGCACAATCAGTGAAAACAGGCCGTCCAAGTATCCAAATAAATAAGGATGAAGCAGATTTGTAAAAAAGGTCAATTATGAATATATGACCCCATGAAGCTCCCATATCCGTAGATGCTTTATTAAATCAGATCGGAGAGACAAAATTGATATTAACGAAACTATGGAAAATTCCGAATGCTCATGCTAAAGTAATCGAAATAGAGCCTCATTAAGTGTGACGTGTATAGATTTTAGTCCGATTAAAATAGAAAGTTTTGGTTTAAATGTATAGTGAAAAACGATCGAACAAGACAGATGACGAGAAGTATGTAGTAGTAAGCGACATGATGTTTTTAGCATGCGGCATATCAGAGCGGATAGGCTAAGCTCCTACAGCAAGAGAAAACAAAAACATCACAAACAATAGAAACGTACTCCACTACTACATAATGGAGAAGGCAGGAAAATACAATGAAGCTTATGTTACCTTAGTATATTAGCGTAACTGGTTCAAGTTCGAATTGAAACAAACTAACTTGGTTAGCAAGCCGCTCATGAGAAGAGGGGCAACAACACGATCGATGTGCGGGGAGGGGTGTGCGTTCGCCCGAGCGGCGCAGACCCACCGAGGCGGTCTAACCCATTGGACGGGGTCATACGTGAGGGCTAGACTAATGTTGTCCGATCGATATCGCTTCGGGCACTCAATTTTCGCGCGCACGACCTCTATGCTAGGGAGAGCTGTTTCAACTGTACTCCCAAGTGCATAATAACCCAGAGACGAAATACGAGAAATCCGAAGCAGAGGAGATTAGCCAGAGTCCGAGGTCGTAGCCAAAATCGTGAAGGTTTCTCACATCTCATGAGAATGCTTTGATATTTCGATGGTTTAGTGGTTATTTACGCACGATTTCACCTTACACTTGTGTTATCACTGATTAAGAGCTAAACGCAAGATAGTAACATCCTTAATGTTAAGCGCTGTAACACAATTACCACACAGTGTACTTAAATTTGATCATTACGAATGGTTAATGAAATTCTAAACAGTGGTTATGAAGCATCAGTAATACAACACGGGTTAGGTTGTTATCATATTAAAGATAGGGTATCCAGTAAGCTACCCTCACCACCAGTATTCTACATCGATAAGTCATCGATACTGTTTGGGTTCTTCTCGTGCATAGTTACTGTTTTAACAGCTTGCGAAATGAGTAGAATCGATCGCCAATGTGGGTAGCGGGGTGTGTCTAAGGGGCGACCATGGGGTTTAGTGTTTCGACAAGGACGACCCTGATATCGATGGCGCTGCGAGGCATGGAGGCCACTGGAGGCGAGTTGGAGAGAATTCCGCATTCGATAGAACAGCTGCATATCACTTGGAACTTAGAAAGCACAATCCGCCCATGTCGAAATGAGCGGAGGGGCATAGACTACTGGTGTTTTATTCGGATACGGATACATTAAATTGGTGTTTTTGAAGTCTGGTTGGGCTCTTATACTAGATAGGAAAATAAAAAAAACAGATTTTTTTTAGATCAAAACAGAAAAACAGATTAAAGAAAAAACAAAGATTTTCATTTCAGCAACCACATACGATATGGATAGGATTTTATGAGTATTTTAGGTGTTCATTTGATTTTGCTACATCTTACTTCGTAGAAGAGATCGGTGATAGTGACTGATGAAGGTTTTTAGATAAAGCAAATAAAGTGGTGGGCGTTGATCAATTCCGTAGACCATGCATTCGACTCCATGAAGCATCACCGAGATCACTGAATGCATATTAGGCGTGTATAATGATTTGCGGGGGCTACGCCACACATTAAGTCATTTCTTTTTCCTACCGAACAAGTCTGGACTTCAGAGAGAGAGAGAGGGAGAGAGAGAGAGAGAGAGAGAGAGAGCGGAAGGCGGAATGGAACCAATGACCACGTGTATATCACAGGGTGCATCTAGCAACTGCGCTACGTGCGTCGGAAAAGTCCTCGATAACTGTCTATGGTTTTTCGATAATGTAGTACTTATAGAACCGAAACTTGAGACATATAGAATATTTTTCTGTTTTATCTCTCCAAGGGAGAAGGGGTGTAGCGCAGTGGTCGGAGGCACCTTGCAGTACACATGTAATCAATCCCCGCACTCCTGCCTCACAAAACTTTCCAACGCTCTGGAGTCGGTATAACTGGTATACTTGTATGCGAAGATAGCAGCACTGGTTCAACAGATAGGCAGAGCTCCGCAAGTCATTGTAAGGGTCATATGTGCATTCAGTCCGATTCTCAATGAAGTCTAATTCGTGGCGCATTCGTAGGGATAGATGAACGCCGAAAGCTTTATCCTCTTTTTTATCTCTCTAGAGATTCGAACAGTTTTTTAATAAAAACTTTTTTAATCTATTGTTTTAATCAGGGATTTGTTCAGAATTATTCTTGAATAGCTGAAAATGAGATTTCACTTTTCAATGGAGGAACAGTCAAACGTTAAGACATGTTGAACCATTTTGTCCTGCTAGACGGAAATTCGCTTGTCTACTGGTTTCCTTGTTCAAAGTACGAGCTCGACCAAATAAAAAAGATAGAATGCGTTTTTGGTCTCATGATACTGGAGATCTGATCGTACTAGGATAGGAAAGATTGTATCCTTTCGATAAAGATCTGTAGATTCTATTAATTTTCATTTAATTCAGTAATGTTCGATACGAGCTGAGAAATTTCTTTAAATACGAACAACCTAATTATTTTTGGCCGTATGTGATTTGGGATCAGTTCATAATGAATATTAAGTGTTAAACTATTTAAATACTTTACAACATTGCAACAATGGGGGCGGATACACAGTGGTAGTGGTGTCCGTATCATGAGCATGGTGCTGGTCCGTTTCCGATCCGGATTAACCAAGCCTCTCATTCCTTAGGAATTGGGAAATTGGTACCGGACTTATCTGAGGGGAAAAATTACATTCTGCAATCCAATTCGGAACCCTTCAGCTCGGCTATCTCAGGACTCCAGGGAGAATTACTCGACCAGCATTCTAAAGCATTACAGATGAAATGGAAATCCTCAAGCACCAACCGAGGCCACACGTAAATGTTGGAAGGTCTTCATGGACATTGTATGTGAGGAAACGAGTCGAATATGAGAGGTGCTGAGATCTGCACAGTAGATGTGAAGACAGATCAAATAAGATAAAAAATAATGGTGCTAAATAGTCAGCCCATCAACCCGTCAGATCCAGTTGTTGTTTCATGGTTTTGTTGAGCTACAAACAGAACATTGTTAACCTTTTATTAACTACCTGCGATAGTTTTTCACGGCAATGTATTATTATGTGGAATGTAACCACAATGTTGATGAGGTTTTTGCAGAACTGCGAACCGCAAGTTTGTGCGGTTGGGATCGAACTCACTATTACCCTTTCCAGGGACTAACGTGTTGACCGCCACACAATGTGGGTCCTTAGTTTCACCTTTCTTTCAGCTAGTTTTCGATCTGCTAGTGCCCACTATCTATGAACGGAGCACATAACTTATGGAGGCGGATGCACTATTGCGTCCATCTGGTGCTTCTACTAAACAGGTCATTAACTACTGCAGAAAATCCGTGAGTAGAAAGAGGAAAATAAAAGCCCATATGCGATTGATTGATACCATCGTTTTTATTTAATTTAATACTTGCAAGTTTGTTTTGGAACTAAAAGTAGTCAATTTGGCCGGAATGGAAATTTTTTATGCGATTTTTCCTCTTCGACACCAGTATTAAATACATTGGTCGGAATACCTATATTTGTTTAGCAGTTGTGTGCAGCGACGTTCATGTTTTAATATAGCCAAGAGGTGGTAGAAATCTCTCTGCTCAGCAAGAGTCGTGGATTGCTCGCAGTGATGAAACTGGGACGCTCTTGTGGCGGTTTCCTGGGGCAACATAGAACAGTTTTACCGATCTATTAACTTACTTTTTAAAGTGAACGTGTGGTGCGACCGAACCCGAACGCTTGTTCGCGAGCTATGAATATTCATGTACTAAACGCTTCCAAAAGAACTTTAAGCTTCTGTTTTTTTCAATAATAACCGACATATATGAAACTAAGGCTATAGGCAATGCTTCGAAAAGCTGGTTCTTTTATGCTGATTGGGGGTATGGTTTTTTTGCTCAGATTCACAGATAATTGAGGAACAACGTTCATGGTTGGTTCCCATATGAAATAACAACCTTTCGTGCTAAGTAGATCGGCCACTCTGTTTTACCAAACTGTTCGCAGTGTTGCCAGTGATGCCAGTCGCATTTACTACTTTTCATGTGAGCAGGAAACGCTGTTTATTTGTTGTCCGGCTTGATGCTAGATTTTTTCTGTATGTAGTGGTGAAGCAGCAAATTGGTAAAAGTTCCCGTTGTTGGTCAATCTGTGAGGGATTCTCTACGCATTTGACTTCATCAAGCGTCGTTGAACGTGATTGAATGCATATCTGGCCTATACAGTACGCGATATTTTACCGATGTATCGACTCCGTGTTGCTGCCCTTCTGGACAGGTCTGGTACCAATTTGCCTGGCCTGGAGAAGTGGAAGCCTTGGTGAGCCGGAGGTGTGGGACCAAACCAACGACCACGTTCCTGTCACTGGCAGCTCTAACCTCTTCACTACACGCGCCCCGGCAAAGTGATTATCTGTATGCCGTCCTATTGATTGCCGAGTGACTCTAGCTGGCACGTGCAGGATTACCCCAGTGCGTTCTGCTTGCTCTAGGGACTCGTGGACCACCGTCATATCTCCCTTCTAGGGTTTTCGTGAAGAACTCTGGCCATCGGGCCCTATCTTTGACAGTTTGGCCTATAGAACGGCATCTTTAATTTTTGGTCGTTGACGTAGATTGGAGCGTCAGATCCCTTGCGTGGTGTGAGATACTCCTAGCATCGTCCTTTCTACTGCACTTTCAAAAACGCCGAGTGATCTTTCATCATGCTTACACAGCGACCAGGTTTCTGTCGCATATGTCAAGGCAGGAGAACTCATGGAGTCGGAATGATGGGCATGGAATCGGGTGTTCTTTGTTATATTTACTACAACCTCGAAGCTATTGAAGGCTCCCATTTCACCTACATGCTCCTGCTCAACTCTAGAAATAAGTCGTCCGTTATGTTGATTTCTCGACCTAGGTAGATGTGGGTGAAGCATTCGGAGACATTTGTTCCGCTCAACGTGAACGTGGCATGCGAAGCCAATCCGTTCCCCATGAAGATCGTTTTTGTGAGATTTACTCGTAGACCAATTTATGCACAAGTGTTATCAAAGTCGGTTAGCAGTCGTTTGGGTTGCCTAATGCTTAGTGTTGTAAGAATGATGTCATCAGCAAGGCGAAGATGATGTAATTGCTGACCATCCATTTTCACTTCCATGTTGTCCCATTCCAGTTATCTCTCGACGTTCTCGAGAGTGGTGGTAAACAAATTTAATCTCCCTCATAGAGAGATCTCATGCCGGTCAGTAGAGAGGCAACATGGCGTGTTCCTCTGGTGGCGGATATGGGGTTGATGAAAGGCCAAAATGACCTTTTCTTACCTGAGATGCAGGTTAATCCAGGGCATGGACTCCCTGTTTCTGCTGTGCCGATTTGGCACATAACTTCTGTATTTACTGTATTTGCAAGGACATGCTCTTCCATGGTTGACTGGGTGAGTTCTCGTTTATGCGGATTATATTCTACTAGTCAATTTGGCCGAAGACCTATAAGCAAGTAACAACGAAGCATATGGGAGGCGGTTGGTAGTCGCTCCTACAAGTAAGCTCTGCCATCTACTCTGGATAGAGTGGCAAGCTATTCATGAGCATATCCAGCTCCCACGTTCAGAGCTGAGCAACCTATACGTGACTAATGGACTCTAAACAGTAAAAGAAACGGGCCTCATTCTGTTGACTGCGAAAGAGCCTCGATAAGGCAGCGTTGGGTAGGAAAATTGATATTGAGGAAAATGTATTCCGCTTGGCTCGAAGTGAATTTCAACGCATAAATTAATGAATTGTTTTATTTGCACATGTTGTAATTGCACATGTAGATTGCATTCACCTTTGGAATTCAACGTACTGTGTGTAGGTTCTGCTACTTGATTACTTGTAGTATGTCGTATAATAGTTGCTACCAACTTTAAAGGTCAGTAATTTGATCCTAAAGAGTTGAACAGCAAAACCTACATGTTTGATATCTAAGGTACTTGTGAGGTTTGGTTCTCTGCAATACAAGGATGCGTATGGACACCTCATAAGTTTGTCTTAGTGCTCCAAATCCAGTTTTTACGATTGGAGAATCTACCAAACAATTTTTTAAATGGAAAGAAAGTGCTAATTACATAAGCGACTTTACAGGCGACAGTTTCCCGATCCTTCAGTATGGTACGCTGCTCGACTTGGTTTCGCTCGCTCATGCGGTGTAATGTCAATGATTGGCTTCGTTTTGGGATTAGGTACAGAATTTCCATTATGTTTACTTTTGGTTCGCTATATTTGCTGTGCCCTCCTAACGGTTTACTGTCTCATCGTGGCTGGGAGGTGTTCCTGGGTGTAGGACTGCGATGTACAGTGGGGGATTCCTTCCCTCAGCAGGGTCTCCCAAGCTGATAAGGAGACCGGCGTTTCCATCAGCAACCCCAGCTAAGAGTAAACTAATACCAACATCCACCACCGTCCTGGTACCAAACTAGTCGCAAAGTGGCAAATCTCCCTCTAATCCACAATGACGGCGAATGACTGTGGTGGTGACGACCTGGGGCAGACTTTGACCTGGCTGACCCCGACCTCGGGTCTCCAGGGAACCACTACGGCCAACCCAACAAGACGCCGAGAAAAGAAATGGAAATTATGCTGATGCCCGCACAACTAGTGACGACAGGTTATCCAAGTATACACGTACATATATTGGTTATGCAAGACTGCAATTCCAAGGCTTGATGTAGATAAGATATAATAGAGACAGGTTGTCGCTATTGTACTGCATTTTTCTTGTTCTCAGTTGTCTAGTTAGACTTCCATAGGTGATCGACACGGAGAGAACATTCTGGTAGATGTGGTGGAGGGATGTGTGGTCCATGTAGATTTCAATCTGATATTCCACAAAGGGGAATATCTTCCAGTTCGTGAGGTTTGCAATTCGGTCTTGTTTTTCTCGTTAAGCTTAGTAACGTTTACTTATTGTAACTAGAAACACTATAGAGCTTAAAAATTACCACAAGGAAATGTTTGATCAAAATCTCAATGACTTATTGAAATGGAATAATCATCATATGCTAGAGTAGGTTGTATTTTTCTTTCCACCACCCGAAACGTAGTCTCCCGTGAAGCACTAAATGTTATTTATGGTACCATGCTATTTTGAAAAGCTTACAGGTGGTACCATTTCGTCTAACACGAAACATGGTGAATGGATTTGGTCCAACTGGTGTTGAGGGATCGTTCAGAAGATCTTGTGAGGCGACTTTACGAGTGATGAGAGATAATAAGGATACCTTGCTAACCGTATGGTTTAACCTCTATATATTCTTTTTTTTACCTTAAAGGATATACAATTCAGGTTATTCAAACTTTTGTTCACGATCCTTTGTTGGAATGGATAAACACTGAAGCTCGTGCACAACAAAAGAGAGGAGTTAGCGCATTAATTCACTATGCTTATCCAACCATAGTTTATCAGCGATTGTCTGCTTACTACTGGTGTTATTTCTAGCGCTGTGAACAGAAAATTAACGCTCCGTCTGCAGAAAGTGTGCAACTTATTCTCAAACGACTCGAAGGTCACATAGTCTCACCTGAGGTTAGTATTGATGGGTTTTACCATAAAAACGTTACATTATTGTATACCTATAGGACTATCCATGAATATTATTTATGTGAATGATGGTGAGCACAGTAGCGAGAATCGCGGTGTGCAGCGGGGATAGCGCAAACGAAATGTGATGTGCTCTTCTTGGGACATATTTGAATCGAGTTAATGAATTTCGTATCACCTCTGCACCGTACCGACCATGCCATGTGGTTCTTGCATACAAGCGTGGGTTGTACTTCGCAATCTAATTCGGCCTAAGGCCTGCAACGAAGTGAGGCGACCTATCCGGGTCGTTGCTGTGAGTAAAGTGGTTAAAAACAGCAATCCACATAGGAGAGGATGTCCCTGTATGAGTAGAATCTTCCTACAGTTCTGGAACACCGAACTACAAATGGAGATTTGGCTGTTCACTCAACCCGATGAAATTATAAGTTATAGTTATAAGTTATAAGTGTTAAGTTATAGTTATAAGGAAAAGTTATAAGTGGTTCTTGCATGCCCTATCTTCACTGGCTGTGCGGGTCTCAGCACAATCCACGTGTTTTTCCCTGGCTCGTCATCTATGCTGGTGGTCACTTTCGAACACGGTGACGTTCGCAAGGCCCATTCTTGATGGAATGGCCATCCAAGTAATACAATAGAACCGATCATTGAATGAAACATGTTGAGGTGCACTTTGCAGGTATACAAGCATAAATTCTCCTGTGCTCCGATGAGTCTTGAAGGACAAGTCGCAAAGTTGATCGACATCGCCAGCGACGAGAGGAATCTTGCTCAAATGTACATTGGATGGGGTCCATTCATTTAGCATTGGATGTTAATCAAGAAATACATTCCTATCCTCTCCACTACTTTCTTAATCTGACTTACTCAGTTGTCACTTTGTAAATTCTTTCAATTGCAACTGCTATTATATACTGTTACTGTGTCTAGAAAACTGTCTTGATTTCATTTCACATTTTAATTTCTTCTCTGATCTCTAACTATATTATGTATTCATGGAAGAACTACTCTTTCCCTTAAACTTGTTATGTCTACATTATGAAGTCTCTGACACTGAATACTAGCACCCATGTACATGAACAAAAGCTGTCTATTGCTATAAAGTTTCCCAAACAAAGGTATAGTGTGAGGATGTGCAAAAACAAAAAGCTTCCACCAAGTCTTAAAATGCCTTTGATTTAATTGCAGAAGCTACATGAACCTTGAAAAACACGCATCAACACCACGTAATTTAATATTTCTGGACAGGAAATATATAACTTATAAATCAACAAATAAAAACACGCTTATTTTTTCTTGCCAACTCCAGCCTTCTGTGCAGCTTTAGTGACCTTGCCTTGAGCTCCTTCCGACTTATCCACAGACTTGATAACTCCCACGGCAACCGTTTGCCTCATATCACGAACAGCGAAGCGCCCAAGAGGAGCATAATCCGTAAACGACTCAACACATAGGGGTTTAGTTGGGTGGAGTTCAACTATACCCGCATCTCCAGACTTAAGGAATTTCGGGTTGTCCTCAACTTTCTTACCAGTACGGCGGTCAACCTAAAAGTAAGGTACCATATACACCCGTTTTTCTGTTTTATAATGTTGGTGCTGAAAAAGCAGGTAACTATTACAAAGAAAATGAATAAATATAACAAATACCTTCTCCTTAAGCTCCGCGAACTTGCATGCAATATGCGCGGTATGGCAATCAAGCACAGGTGTGTAGCCAGCGGCAATTTGTCCAGGATGGTTCATAATGATGACCTAGGATTTACGGGATAAACGAAATATTAGTGGGAGATGAAGTTGAAATTGTAGCAAGCACTTGGCACAACCTGTGCATTGAAACTACGAGCTTCCTTGGCTGGATCGTTCTTTGAGTCAGAGCAGACCGATCCACGACGAATATCTTTGACAGATACATTCTTCACGTTGAAACCAACGTTATCACCTGGCATGGCTTCGGGAAGAGATTCATGATGCATTTCAACTGACTTGACTTCAGTAGTAACATTTTGTGGTGCGAAAGTAACAACCATGCCAGGTTTTAGTATGCCAGTTTCCACACGGCCAACTGGGACGGTTCCGATACCTGAGCAAATTAGATTGAAAGAAATGGTCAGCAACCAAGACTTGAATACACACACCTCCGATCTTGTATACATCTTGTAGAGGGAGACGTAGTGGCCTGTCAGTGGGACGTTGAGGTGGGACAATAGAATCAAGTGCCTCCAGAAGAGTTTTTCCGGTAGCATTACCCTCCTTGCGCTCCACAGTCCAACCTTTGAACCATGACAAGTTGGGTGATGGCTCGAGCATGTTATCGCCATTGAAACCAGATATAGGAACAAAAGGAACGGCCTTCGGGTTGTACCCAATCTTCTTGATGAAGTTCGAGACCTCATTTGTGATTTCGGTGAAACGGGACTCAGAGAACGGTGGCTCGGTAGAGTCCATTTTGTTACAAGCAACAATAAGTTGCTTGACACCAAGGGTCTGTGCAAGAAGAGCATGTTCACGAGTCTGTCCGTTCTTCGAAATTCCAGCCTCGAACTCTCCAGTACCACAAGCGACAACGAGAACAGCGCAATCGGCCTGCGACGTACCTAGAATGAAACATTGACTGCAAAAGTAATAGGGGAATGATCTAAATTCAAAGTTCAAACCAACACAGGTCTACTAAGACCACTTAAATTGCCACAAAATTGTACCATACCTTCCCCTAAAATAGAGGTCTTTGCAACAATAACGTACCAGTGATCATGTTCTTAATGAAATCACGATGTCCTGGAGCATCGATGATGGTGATATAGTACTTGGCTGTCTCGAACTTCCACAAAGCAATATCGATCGTGATACCACGTTCACGCTCAGCTTTCAGCTTGTCGAGAACCCATGCGTATTTGAACGATCCTTTGCCCATTTCCTGAGCTTCTTTCTCGAATTTCTCAATCGTTCGCTTATCGATACCACCGCATTTGTATATGAGATGTCCAGTAGTAGTCGATTTTCCAGAATCGACATGACCAATGACGACAATGTTGATATGCGTTTTTTCCTTCCCCATAGCTGTTGCACCCAACTGAAACAAGGAAGACCATGATAACTGAATGAATGTTCCTCATCGGAAAGAAAAATGCGAAGCAGCGATAAGCAAAATAACTGGACTAAGTAGGTGAACAACCGTAGATGCTTCCCACAACAGAAAGACTGGTCTACAAATTACAAGACAAACGAACCACACTACGTATACAAAATCGGGATGAGGAACAACATAAGGAAAAGAACGAGACCGCCTAATGCCATCATTAAAAGTTATGAAACAACTCGATACCAGTACGAACACCACAGAGGACAAACGCGAAGCAATGGCCTAAAATGCGCGCATCCGGTAGGCGGGACCAGTCTGAGATACTGTAGTTTGAATCCTGATTTTCAAACGAAAAACGCGGGAAACACTCAGGAACGAGTATGGCTGCTGTCTAACAAGTCACTATATCACCAATCGTGTGCGAAGTGCGGGTGCTCTTGTTTCGAATACTATCGAGGGATAAGCTAGGTAGCGATTGAGAGTAGTATTCGTTCCGAGTGCTTCTATAGAGAACCTCATAGTTTCTGTGAAATATTTTCCAAGGTGTTAGCCATTTTTTAGTTAGGTAAGCAGAGCTCGATGGTCCAACTCATAGCGTCGTTTCCTTTTTCTTCTGTCAAGGTTTTTTGGATCGAATTTGACAACGATCAATCGTTTTTCATCTCAGAAAACGAAGACGTAGGTGTCGAAACGTTAGGCGAATGAAGTTTGTGTGACAACCTCTTCTAAGCTCAACAGTTTAAACACGTGTTAAATTGTCCTCCATTTTTAACGTATTGATTCGTTACTGCTTTCCTATTTCTGGATATCGAATGTTTTTTATTCTTGTTGGAGAAGCGAAAAGATAGAAGAAGATTGTTCGAGAAGCAGTAGGTCCATCTGTGCCACAGTGCTTATTTTATTCTTATAATACTGTTTCCGTTGATAAATAGTAGGTTAACGTAAAGATTTCCAAGAATTTGAAGTGGTTGGTTATCACCGAAAGGAATGAAAACGGTCTTCATGGCACTGATGTACTGAATTAGAAGGTTTCCTCCTAAAGAGATTCTTGTTTAGTTCTGGAACGCTTTTCAGCAAGTGCTATTTATAGATTTTGAATGGTGAAGTGGTCAGAAGTTCATCCTTGAAAGCAGTGGAAGGCAAAATTCCGTCATACTGACTCGGCATGGAGAATTCGGGCCTCGTTGGTACAGGATCTACCGACGCGGTACGTTCTTTCCTTTACGTTTTTACATAGAAGATAAACCATGAGAGGTTTGTTAGATGGAAACCTCATGTTAAATTTTAGCCATGAAATGTTTCTGTTTATTGAACGCAGGAGGATGGATCGTTTGTTTATGCGTCAACCATCGAAGCAAACACACTCAATCCCGCTCCAGTCACTGCCCTCTGCTTCGATCCGTTTGAAGAACTTCTGTGGTGCGGGAGTTGTACAGTTAGGTTTTTCATGCTCAGTCATTGTTATGGTCGTTTTCCTGTTTACACTGTGTATTTTGTGTGCTACCTCGTAACGGTTTACCGCCTCATCGTGGCTGGGAGGTGTTCCTCGCTGTCGGGCTGCGATGTGCAGCGGGGGATTCATCCCTCCGGGAAGGTCTCCGAAGCTGAGAAGTCCATAAGAGCGGCGACTGCCTGTGGTGGTGACGACCTGGGGCAGAGTTTGACCAGACTGACCTCGGTACTACAGAGAAACACGATGGCTAAACCAGCAAAACTCCAATGAATGGAGATTGTGCTGGAGCCCGCACAACCAGTGAGAATGGGCCGTCCAAGTATCCAAGTAGGCATTCATGCTAAGACGGCTGTATACAAGGTTACTTATGTTTACCTTTTCAAATCGTTGATAAGTTGAAGTTTAAGGGTGGATTCTTGAATTCTGCCTGAAGAAAAAAACCGTTGTTAGAAAAAGATAACGTTGTAGGGCCGTATTGTTTCCTACTATGCACCATCTTTCGAACGATATACTGCCGTATGCGCTACAGCAGCTGATATTCGAGCAATGGAAGTCACTGAAATGATGGTCTTGTCTCTTTCTCCTAATGAACTCAAAGCGAACACTCGTCATGGTCTTGTCGCGTTTTCGTTCAGGCAACTATCTTGTTCGTCGACGTTTTGTTCGTGATTCCAAACTAATCTTCTTTCCAGTTCACAGTCCATGCAGAATCTCAACTCCATGCGAGTACTGCCTGGCACTTCCTCTTTGTTTATGGGTGGTGATAGTACTAAGCTAATTCAGCTGGACCTGGAGAAACAAAAAGAAATCCGCGTGGTTTGCTCTTTTATAACTTTTATCCCTTCTATAAAAGTTGCTTTTTTACTGATTTTGAAGGCTGACATCAAAGAAAAGAATGCCAATCTGATAAGATTCAACGGATCACAATTATTTACTGCTGATACGGAAGGGAAAGTGCGTTTATTCTCGGGGTCATCTACATCTTGGGTTTTGTATCTTATTAGTACTATGCTGTTGTAGATTACTCTGCGAGCACTAGGTACCATGGATGCCGTACGAGTGATTCCAGCACACGGCGGTGTAATAACAGATTTTGACGTTAACGGTAACAAACTGATAACGTCGGGGTGTTCTATAAGGTTAGCTTGTTGTTGGTTGGTACAAGTTATAATTGACCTATACTGATTCCTTTGTGAAAATTCAGGCTTGGTGTACCACACGGCGATCCGTATGTGAAGGTATATGACTTGCGCAATTTCTCCGCCCTACCTCCTATACCGCTCTCTTTTGCTCCTGCTTTCTCCAGATTTCTCTCGCTTCCAACGTTCTGTGACTCGCGTGTGGTTAGTGTGAGCCAGGTTAATGTTTTTTCTTACCATTCACAGTTTTTCCCTTTAACAGTTTCAAACTGCACGAGGTGACTATGTTTAGACGGGCCAAGGACTAATAATGTTCTTGAATGAAAGGAATGCTGGAATTCCTATGTTTATCGGTGCTGGTGGGTACCATCTTACTGCCTTCGATTTCTCTACAACTAAGCAGTACCTCGCATTTGGAGATGAAATCGGTAAGGTTGGGAAGGTATTGTTTACTTACTTGGATACTTGGACGGCACGTCCTCTGTGATTGTGCGGGCTCCAGCATATTCTCCATTTTTGGGAGTTTTGCTGGTTTAACTGTTGTGATACCCAGGAGTCTCGAAATCAGCCAGTGCAAAGTCTGCCCCAGGTCGTCACCACCACATCGATTCGCCGTCGTGGGTTAGAGGGAGATTTGCCACCATGCGACTGCTTTGTTACCAGGACGATGGTTCATCCTGCTGTTGGTTTACTCTTAGCTGGGTTTCCTGATGTTAATGCTGGCCTCCTCGACAGCTTGGGAAGCCCTACTGTGGGGACGATTCCCCCGATGTACACCGCAGCTCGACACCCAGGAACACCTCTTATCCTGGATAAGGCAGTAAACTGTTAGGAAGTAGGTATTGTTTATGTTGTTCAAACACGGTCTACATATCAGGTAAATGTTTATAAATGTAGTGTTGTTCATTGTCTTCATTAGGGCACAGCTGTTGACCTAATAGTTTGCCTGTTCCTTTATAACTTCTTCAAACGTTTTTCTTCCGTTTATTTGCAATTTATTTGATTTATACAACTGAAAACAACCAGGATAAAAAATCAATACTCTGCTAGGTTTGCAGCTTTGCTTTTAGTCTTACCTAAATTGCTCATAATTTCAAGAGTGCATATGAATCATTCCCATTTATTTATGTATTTATTTACTCATTACTTATGTAGTTCCAACTTCATATATTGTATGAATCTGTGCATTTCTTTATTTCGATTCGTGATCTCGCCTTCACGATTCACAGAAGTATTTGGATTTACTTATAAATTCGTCTCTTAAAGAGTTTATCTCATATATTTTTGAGTGTTGCTCGAGGTGATCCTCTACATTAGGGGAGTGTTCTCATGTCGTCACCATGGTTGCCCGCCGGTCTTTGCGGATCGAGCGAGTTTCTCCGACACAAGTCAAGCCTCAATTTGTGTTCCCAGAGGGATGGGAGGCATGCTTGACCCAGACGAAGTTAAACTAGCGACCATGTGGTATTATTGCACGGCATCTCTAACCACATTGCTTGCAGCACCCATTCCAATTATACTGTTTTAAAATTCGTATCGAGTCAGATTCTGATTCCGTGATTACTGTACAGGAAATATCCACGTGTATAGTGATCGTGCAAACCCGGCCATCAACGAGTCGTCGTATGAAACCGACTTCGCCGATCCATCAGTAGGTTATTTACCTTGCTCCCAATGTTACAATTTTTTTTATAGAATTTTGCATTATAGCTTGGACCTCCTCAGTCATTTCTTATTGACGACACGCATACACCGCTTGCCGCCATACCTCTTCCGTTCTCTTGCGACGATACGTATTTCTCTGACTGGCCGGCCGAATTATGTCAAAATGTGTACAGGTGCATGAAAGGATTGTTTTGCCTTGGATAACAACTGTAGCTGCAAATGATGCCGTAGTTTTGAACGGAATCCACTTGAAAGGAAGCCAGGTTAAAGAACACTGCAGCTGTTTTTTCCTATGCTAAATGTATCCAGCACTCCTTTATTTTATAGATTCAAAGATTTACTTGTATTGGGAGGTTTCTTCCCGTTCGAACTCCACCTAGTGTTTTCTTTTCAAGTCGTGTTAGGTAGTTTTTATATTTTCGAATGAAGTACAAATTTCTCATTCAGTGATTTTAGAAGGTTAAAACCACTTCCATCTCACTCAACAATGTCTACAATTCAGTTTGTTGGTTACGCGCCAAATCCGCGTGCACATACACCACTAGCACGTTTTAATATAGTTCCTTACTGTCTGGATGATGAGGAAACCTATGGTGATTTGATTCTTTCTTCGTTTCAGTTTCCACCCATCTATGGCTTCCGGTTTTCTGTTTCGTTATTTCTGGAAATTATAGAAGTAGTCGAAGCTCCTGGGCCTCCTGTTATTCCTCAGTTTTACCGTAAATTGGAACCTCGACGTACTCGCAATGGGCGCGTTGATGACACCACTATTCTCAAGTACAACAAAACGAATCATGTTCCAATGGAAGTGGTCTCTTCTAGCTGCATTGTTAATCCTATAGTTCTGGTAAGATAGTTTTATTCGTTCATACCAAACAATTATCTAACTTGTGTAACATTGTGTTGTTACAGTTGCTATTTCACATTACTGCTTTACGCAATCTCTTTCTTTCGCATATCTGTGAGGAAGAGCATTGTATAGTCTGTCAGTTGGGTTTCGTTTCTAGGATGATCAGTGATAAATGCAAGTTGAAGGAAACAGCTGCTGTAAGTTGTTTCGTAAAGAAAGTGTTTCATAGATATTCTCCAACTCGTATCCAGTTTTTAGCAAGAAGTCAACGTGGAATCTTCTAGATGACTATGTAACAAAAGAGTTTGCAGTGTACAAATTTGGTTCGGTCGTTAGTTGCCACTGGAGTATCGATAGTAGGTCCTGTGCAATCAACAACCCAATCTCTTCTCAACAGTATAGCAAACTCTATAAATGAGGTTCGATGTTTTAACAAAGATCTTTAACACATTCGTGATTATTTGTATTGAGTTTTGTGCGTATATGACCAAAAGTAGTTTAGCCTTTCAACTTTAAGCAAAGATATCACATCTGCAATGATGCAGAAATATTTGCAGAACTCCGGACCGCAAGTGTCTGTGGCGGGGATCGTCGAAACTCGTTATTACCCTTTCGGGATGTTAGCGTGTGCACCACCACACCATGCGTGTCCTTCTTTTCGCCTTTCTCTTAGCCGTCTTTTATAGGGGCTATCAGCAATCAGTCGTCAACGGGATAGATCTGGGAAGCAGAAATCGGCATTGGACCCAGTTAAGGTGTAACTGTAGTATAAATAACAATGTAATCACTATGTTTAACGTTTTGTTTTCTGCCTTCTATAATTTTCATGGCAGGTTACTAAGCGAAATACAACCACAACGTTGCTGAGATATTTGCAAAACTCTGGACCGCAGGTGTCTATGGTGGGGAACGAACGCGCTATTATCCTTTCCGGGGAGTAACGCGTTCACCACCACACCATGCGGGTCCTTCGTTTCGCCTGTCTCCCAGCTATTTCTATCGATCTTTTTGCCACAGCAATGTTAGCAAATGAACGCTGGTTTGGTTGGGCACTACGAAGTCCCCATAGGTACCGTAGACAATATTGGGTGAAGCATTTTCGTTAAGAGTTTTATTACTGTTCTTCAACTTCAATTTTGGTAGTAAGAGATACTTTAGGAAAAACATGCGTGCCTTCAAAGCGATACGGCAAAGTCGCTTGTCAGTCCCTATAAACTCGTCTTACTCTCTAGTCATCGAAAAATGATGTCTAATTAACAAAAAGCATTTGCAGTCGCGAATGTGTTAAAGTATATTTTGTTGCGTCACTTTGTCTAGTGTTGAATATTTTCCTTTAGTTTGTAATTGGCGAAGAGCGCCAGTTGTTGAACAACATCCTTCGATCTGATCTGACGGTGATGTCACGTTGCATACGTTGTGGAGGAGTGAACGTCGCCGATGAGAAGAAGATCGTCATTACTTTGAATTACCCTGAAGGTGTTTACTACTTTTAAGCCACTGAATAGTTTCATTTTACCATATGCGTTATTGTTTATTTTCAACGTCATCTCTTTAGCCGCTGACCACCGTAATATGAGCTATCTCTTGGAAAAATCCTTGCATTTGAAAGGGCAGCACCAGAAATCCTGTGCTTACTGCAATGTTACCGTATGTTTCTAGGTCGTAAACATTTCTGCTGAATATCTAATTTCTTCATTTCTAGACTCGGATGGATGATACGAGGAGAGTTCATAAACTTGCTCCTGTGCTGCTTATCGATACTAATCCAACAAGTCCAAGGTTTGTTGAGTTCTGGGAAAAACAACTTAAGGTATATCTTTTTTCAAGAGGAACTTTTCGGCATAGATTATTTTCTTTGTGGAGAATACTTTCACTAATACAGCTGTCTGAATCACGCCCTCGTTATCGAGTACCAGAGAAGGAGTGTTCGCTCGAAGGTGGTGGTCGAACAGAAAGGCCATGTCGCTATGGAGTTAATTGCCGAAATAGGTAGGATGTTTTCCTACGATTCTTTGCTAAATAGAGCTTACAGTTTGAGGTGCTTGAGTAAGCTGTTACTTGGTATCATGGGTACTATTCGAAATATTAGTTGTAATGAAGGATTCATACTGTCAATAAATTGATGAATCTTGTATACTAGGGAGACGATATTGTCTTACCTCAACATTATTAACTAATTTGCAGCTTTAAATCAAACCAAGCATATTCCCACCAACGAGGCTTTTTTTTAGCCTACTTCTAAAGAAATGTGTTATTTCATCTAGAGAATTTATCGGTTGACAATAAGTTTAGCTCTAGAATGTGCACAAATAAACACTTTAAGTCAATTCACTCCGTCGAATCTGTCTGTTCTCCACGTCTCCACGTATGAATGGGCATGCACTCATGTTGTTTGTGTTGTTACATTCAAGAGAAAGCACACCTCGAATTCTACCTTGTTTTGCTTTCAAATTTTTTGGTAAAAAATAAACACGCTAAGAAATGACGTCGTATTTGTATTGGAGCATTTTAACCGGTATGACATCATTACAATAATTTTCTCTCCTGTAGTTTATTCAGGCACACAATTCTTTTACTAATGGTACTTTACGACCAGTCGATAGCTTATCCAACAGATCTTTTAGCAGTGGCCATCTATGGAAGCATTCAGTATACTTTATAGTTTATTACAAACTTGTACATTTCGTGGCAAGAGTCTCTGTTGGAGAGCAAGCCTTTTAGGAGGGAACAAACGTGACTGCTGTACTTGAATACCAAGTTCAGTGCGTAGATCAGCATCTTTTCGCTACGATAAGATTGCTAACTTTTAAGAAGATTCGTATAAGTGAATAGTAATGTAGGTGAAACTGCAATTTGAACAACTACACTTCATCGAACTCAAATCGGATATAGTGCAGCGGAGATGGCAAGATTCATTGATGGTGTATCGGGTCAACGACTTGTTAACGAACGTAGAATGCGACGTTGGTTTAAAAGGTTTCTTCGTAGCGAATTCTACCTTGAAACAAGAAGGTCATGAACGTCTTTGTTTCCACTGACGGCGATGAATTTAAGACTATGCTGAAGCAAATACGTGATCTGTTCGAGAACTTGCAGAGAAACTCATCGTAAGCACCTGAATTGTTGTTTCGGAGCATCTAAAGGTGATTTGAAAGCCGAAAAGAGTCTAAGAATGGATACCGTTCTAAATGAATGACAAGCAGAAAAATCGTCGTTTTGAGGTATCGTTGGCACTTCTTCCACGCAGTGAGAACGACACGTTTCTTGATCGTATTGTGACGTGCGACGAGAAACAGATCTTCGACAACCGGCCGCGGTCGTTTCGCAGGTTGGACCGTCTTGAAGCTCCGTAGAACTTCCCAAATCCCTAATTGCATGACGAGAAGGTCATGCTGATCGTGTATTGGTGTTCAGTTGGTTCTGTCCATCACATTCACTTAAACCCAAGTGAAACCATTACGACGGAGAAGTAGGTCCAGAAAATTGCCAAAATGCGTCAAGAACTTCAGCAGCTCTGCCCCACCTTAGTCGCACTATCGACGCCACAGAAACTGAACAGACTAGGCTAAGAAACTTTGTTTCATCGACCATACTCGCTACACCTCTCGTCTCTTGACTACCACTTCTTCAAGTATCTTGATAACTTATTGTGCGAAAAGCGTTTCAGAAGCCAAGTCGAGGCCGAAAGTGCCTTCAACGTCTTTATGACCTCCAGAAGCTTAGAACTTTATTCATGGAACTAGTACGAACAAATTTGTTTCTTATTTGCAAGTGTATGGATTCTGTCGGTTTGTATTGTAATTAATAAAGTTTATACGAATACGAAGCTGAAATATGCCACTTTGGAAATACGAGTTAAAATCGGAGACTAATTCCCGGAGAAATTACTACATTCACTGACGTGCATAGGACGGATACATAAATTACCACGCACAACCATAGTACGAAGAAGAAAAGAGCTATAGAGCACCGTGTCCACTCACAGAACGATAGAGCAAAGTTTCTTCCATAAATTTGTTGAAGTACCAATTCCTGAAATACATTAATCACTGAAAAATTATCGGCCGGTCTGGAAGACTGGCATCGCTTTATAAAGGATAAGAGGATAAGCTCTCGGCGTTGATCAATTCCTGAAGGATCCACCCTTGCATTCAACTTCGCTAACTATCGTTGGAGGTGATTGAATGCATATCTGGCGTTTACAATGACCTGCGACGGCCTACCGATGCATCGATGCAGTGTTGCTACCCTCCCAGGCAAGTACGGTACCAGTTTGCTGACCCCGGAGTGACGGATGGTGAGCCGTGGGCGCGGGGATCCATTCCACGTGTGTCGCAGATCGCTTTTTATATGAAGCACAATTTTTGACAAGCAACTCATCCCATTTTTAATCACTAAGATTATTCATGGATGTTATGCTGAACAGGCCGGTATGAAAAGCACAAAGTAAACATTGCAATATTCTTTACACAAATCATAGAACTTTAGTAAATGTAGATAGCACTATAATTGGATGGCAGACGATTACGTCGATGTTAATATCTTAAAAAACCGAGTTTCATTAAACCTCGATGACAATAATCATTAATGTTTAAGGTTTTGTTTTCTACCTTCTATAATTTTCATGGCAGGTTACTAAGCGAAATACATCTACAACGTTGCTGAGATATTTTGCAAAACTCTGGACCGCAGGTGTCTATAGTGGGGAACGAGGGCGCTATTGTCCTTTCCGGGGAGTAACGCGTTCACCACCACACCATGCGGGTCTTTCGTTTCGCCTGTCTCTCAGCTATTTCTTTCGATCTTTTTGCCACAGCAATCACCCGTCAGCGGGGTTGATCTGGTGGGGAGCGCAAATCGGCATGTATAGACACCTGCGGTCCAGAGTTTTGCAAATATCTCAGCAACGTTGTGGTAATAATCATTAACCTTCTACATGACTGAGCTGCACGAGGATGGTGCAAAATTTCTATTCGGCTGGCGTTTCGGCGACTTCATCTGCTTCAGAGCCGCATTGATCATCCGCGTTGATGGTCGATGTGGGCGTCCGTTTTTTTTATCGAGTCGAATCCAGTGGAGAGAACATCGCGCGAATGAGGAAGTTTACTTAGCGATGGGCTTTCTTACAGGACGGGTGTACATCTATTGCCATCATCCTATGCGATCTGCTTTTTTCTGGAAATGAGTCCTGTATACTTCATGCTGCTACGTAGCGTTGTTAATGTCGTTATATAATAATAACATTAGGGGCGAGCAGGGCAACGGTAGCGACGCAGGTCTCCAGATGTGCATTCTTCATCTCGGATCGACTCGATCAGCATTCAACAGCAACCTCGAGCAGCAGCCGGACCCACACGCGAAAAGTTCGAAGCCGTTCGTGAATGATGGATGCGAGGAAACCAATCGAATTCAAAGGAATGCTAGAGTCCGCATAATTTATGTGAAAAACGCGTCTTGTGTAAGAAATAAAAAAGTAGCATTCTGTTAGTAAAGTCCATGTATAGTTTACGAAGAATCGTTTTGTATTGAGGAGGGACGCTCCTGCTGTTCAGAATTTCCAAAGCCACTTCCGTGTCGACTGAATCAAAAGCTTTTTTAAGTCTATAAAAGTGAGACAGCATAATCTCCTGTGCTTTCGCGATACTTCTATGAATGTCGTAGTCGTGTGAGTGTGGTCTGTCGTATTGAAACGTTTTTGAAACCCTTCCTGCTCAGATGGCTGGAGTGGAAAGTTTGTAGGTTTTTGGATTTAGACTGTAAATTTGCGGTTTTGATATTTTGCTTTTTGATACTAATGGCTTAGTCTTATGCAGATACTTGACGTCTTGCGAGGCCCTGTACATTGTCCGACTCACCTAATTTTTGACAGCTTGCCATTTCTCTCAACGTCTCTAATCTGTAGTAGTCAAAGTAGATTGGGTATTCGAATACCTTCTTTCACTTGTTTGATATAAGGTGGCCTTTATATCAACGTTTCTATAGCTGTCTAACGATGAGAAATTATTTCGCCTTACTTGCATAAAGTTACGTTTCCGTGGAACATGTGAAACGAAAAGTGCATTGTAGAGTCACAAAAGTTAACGCAAATCGAAGTGTTATTTAGCTTCTTGACCAAATTTTCCATAGCCTCATAAACCTTCCAAGCTCTTTGTTTGCTCCTGCTATACTGGTTGTCCATCGTGTTTGTTTATCAATCCGCGGACGTAGTCGAAATTGGCGAGCATTTGTCTATCAGGCCACTGTTACGTGTTTTAGGAATACGTAATTAACAATGCGAAGATGTTGAGACTGGTGGGCTTTGACTTTTAATTTCTTATTACTTCATTACAGAATTCGTATAACGTTTTCAATGGTGCGTGTAAAACGTTTTAGCAAAGCGCTATGGTCTTCGTAAGTAATTCCTACCAAACTAAGTAGTCGTTGTACAGTGTGAAATCCTGGTTCTAGAGTTACATGTTCAAAGTTTTTTGGCTTTGTTGAAGCACGCTGTGGTTATTCATGGTTGTCCAATGCATCCACGATTGCACTTAAGTGCATGAGTGTGGTCACCATCTCAATAGAGGTTTCCTCTACTGGTACATTTGCTTTACGGATGACCACCATCAGGATGTGGGCATCCTCGAACGACTCAGAACTTTAAGCAGCCTATCTCACGCTCTTCGTAACCAACTCTTCCTTTTCGGTAATTTTATGGAATAAGAAGGACAAGTCTATTGATTTTATCAGATAGCTAAAAGTAGTTATGAGATCTTTGATTTGAGATCTGCGACTAGTTACGGGTGTATTACCAAGTTTACCTAGAGTATATATGTTGATTATTTGTTGGAGGCGACGACGAACGCTTCCTTGTCATTCTGAGTAGTCGTAAGAGTTCTTGATTAAGACAAATATCGCAAAGATGTCCACTAACACGAATATCTTTGCGTATATATAAAAGGTATATAACTATCTGTCGTAACAGTAACAAGTGGTCACCCATCAATCCATCAATATTTCAATGCAAGTTCAAGCACATTTTGATACGCGTTCAGAGTTACAATTTCCTACATGGTGGCGTGCCCCATAGTTCCGTGACAAACCGTTTCGAAAATTCACGTTGAGTGAAATCGGTGGTTATATGTTTACTTATATTTTTAATACAATGAGGGCGCGTGTAGCGCAATGATCGGAGGCGCCCTACTATACTCTTGGGTTCGATCCTGTACCTCAGCTCCACAAGGCCTTCCATTGCTCCGTGGTCGGTGAAATGCTACCAGTTTTGTCTGGGAGGATAGCAGCACTGGCGCGATATATCGGTAGGCCACTGCAAGTCATTGTGAATGCCAGATATGCATTCAATTACCTCCAAAGGATGCTTAATGAAGTCGAATGTATGGCGCATCCTTCAGGGATTGATCAAAGCCGAGAGCGTTGTCATTTTTTTTATAATACAATGGAAGAAGCTTTCGAGTAATATATAGTTATGTTGTTGCCAATGTTCAAAGGTGGGTTTTCAGACACGTGTTTTTGAATGCTAGAAACGATGCTGCAGAGTAGTAGAATTTTTCATCATGAAAGTTTACTATATTTGTAGGTCATATTGTAAATACTCACATGGGACGGTGGATTGGGATTTGGAATGTGCTACTTGGCTTGAAGACACAGGATGTGACGACTGGAAGCATTTTGTTACACCATCGTTTCGTGCAAAGGTTTAAACTGTTAATTGATAGTTCAGAATGTATATATCTTACGTTTTATTACGAACATATCCATGAGGCGCTGTTAGTTCTTAGCTTTCTTTGTGATACAGGTTGCAAACGGATTGGCGATCTTAAGTGAAAGTGTTACGGAAGGTGAATGTGACTGTTATGGATTGGTAGCAATAGTCGCAGCTGTGGGCGATAGAAATGGTCAATGGACTCATCCCATTATAATGATCAAGGACGATGAAGACCCGTATGTCTCTGTCTCATTTTATTTAGTTGATACCTTTTTGTTGCCTACTAGTGTTGATAGAATGCCTTAGAATGCCTAGTGTTACTGATGGAACCCTTTAGGAATTTGCCATGGTGTTTGTTCAATGATGTTCTGATTACTCGTATTCATACAGACGAAGCGCTTCATATGGACTCTCGGTGGAAAATTCCATTGATTCTTTGCTATGCTAACGAGAAGTCTGGTTTGATGAAAGGTAAAAATGTGTTTTTTCATTAGTATTCGATCTTATTTTCAATGTGTTGTCTAATTTTTTTTTTTGTTAGTTACCGAAACTCGTTTGCCTATTCCGCGCACAGTTTTCCAAACCGATAGTAATCTCACCGGAAATGATGATGTGGCTCGTATTCGAAGGTGTATGGAAATTCCGGGTGAAGGCGAATATGTCGGAATAGATGCGGAATTTATAAACATCAGCAATGTTAGTTTTTTTAAATAACATGAAGAATCGCAATCCTGTTCGATCTAGTTCGTTACTTGCAGGAACACGAGCGTAAGTCGGTGGGAAGAGTTAGTTGCGTTGACTCAACAGGTGAACAGATCCTCATTGACGACTATGTGGTAACTTGCGAAGGTGATGTCGTCGATGATTATCTCACGCAGTACAGGTTTGGCTTCTTCTATCGTTCGCTTCTAACTTCCTCATAGTCTATCTATTACGCTTCGTTTTAGAGTATTATTATAATATCCTTTTATTTGCTGCCTACTATAACTTTCCACGTGTATCGTCGCGTTTTTCAAGTAAAGCAACGGCTTCAGTGGCGCAGTGTGTAATGGGCGAGCTCTCAGAAAGGGTAATTGTGATTAGATCTGGTCTGGTGTCCAAGTTTTACGAATATCACGTACGTACGCGTTATTAGGAGACGCGTTACGTAGACGTTCTAGGAACATTTGGGTGTTTGTGAGGTGAGCTGGAATTTGGTTAAGCAACTGGGTAAGTATCAGGCTTAAAAACCAGGTTATTCTATCCGTTGGCCCGTCTACGCAGCTGGTGATCGGTCTAACCTTAAATGATGACGGATTGGTTGACGCATGATCATCAGGTGATACCAACTTTTGTGTTTTAATAAGTAGGTATAGGACGGGACATGTTGGTCTATCGATTTTAAAGTGCGAAATAACCGATGATTTTAAACCCGCAGCCTTTGCCGCGCTGACCCATTGATTGTTTAGTTTTCGGTATTGACTTTTATATTCCTTTTCAGAGGATGGGCGATAGAGAGTAGCATCACTAAGATGTTCCTCTGTTATCTCAACATCCAGCTGGCGAGGGATAACTACGAACTCTCCCCCCTTATCACTAACAGACAATCTTATTGTTTTCGAGTTTATTAATTCTCTAATTTCCCGCTTGCCACATTTTTGTGCGGCTGTAAGGTTAGAGATAAACTTTCTATCGCGGTAGTGATCAAGGGTCTTGAGAACGCCGTCCGAAAACGCGCGGAATTTTATGTCAACTCCATCGTTAGGGTCCTGCTGTCTAAAAAACGTTTTTGGGAAAGGAGATGGTGGTAGTGTCGCCGCCTCTTGATTTTTATCTCTATTTTTTCTATAGTTCTATATTTACGTTGTGATATAACAGTGTTTTTTTTAATTCTAAAGCGTTTATATTAGCAGCGTTTTTATTCTAATTGTATTTCCACGTTTTTTTTCTACAAAAATTGACAGCGTGTTCATTAAGTGGAATAATGGAAGACGACCTTAATCCAAACAAGTCTACAAAACACCTTACGACGCTGAAACGTGTCTACATGAAAGTGCTGCATCTGGTAGAGCGAGGATGCATTTTCGTCGGCCATGCTCTTGTCAATGACTTCTCTGCTCTAAACATCCATGTTGGTTGCTCATTTTTTTTCCTGGTTAATAGTTAGTAATATTCAGAGTTGATGCAGTGATTCTTTTCAATCAGAACAATTGAGTGTGAAGCCTAAGCGAACCTCTACTTATTTGTTAAAGACTTTACCACTATATTTTCTTTAGGTGCCGGTAAAACAAATGATAGACACGGTTGAATTGTTTCGAGTTCCACAGCAGCGTCTCTTCTCATTGCAGTTTCTAGCTTGGCATCTTCTGGGTTTGATTTAACACTTAATAGTAGCGTTCAAAAATGACGAAAGCACTTTGTGTTTCTTTCTACTTCTGTTCAGCAAATACGAGGTGTCATTTTATTTCTTTATTTACGTACAAGCTGACGTTTCGGCGGATTCCGCCTTCCTCAGAGCCTGGAAAGGTCAAGTTGACTACAATCTACACGGTCAAACATCTCCATAACCAAACAAAGAAGATGTTGAACCAAAATTTCAATCACATTGAACGTAGAATAGCTTCTTTTCACAATCATCGTTTTCTATGAGTCTTCCCACGGAATATGTCACGTGGAGACTAACCCCTCAGAGTTCACATGGAAGCGTAATGTGCACAAGCGCGCAAAACTCTCGAGGCGTTCTGGATTAATTCCAGAAATCCGAAAATGAACTGCAGAGAACAATACCTTATTATCACGTGTGATATTGGACAGTATATAAACCTGTTATTCTGATGGGAGGGGCACATTACGCTTCCATGTGAATTCTGTGCGGTTGGTGTTCACGCGACATACTCAGTGGAAGACTCATAGAAAGCGCTGAGTGTACAGAGCTGTTTTAAATGTGATTGAAATCTTGGTTTAGCGTTTTCTTTGTTTGGTTATGGAGGTGTTTGGCCGAATAGATTGCTGTCAACTTGACCTTTCCAAGCTCTGAGAAAGGCGAAACCCGCCGAAACGTCAGCTTGTACGTAAATAAAGAAATAAAATAACACTTCATGTTTGCTGAACAAAAGTAGAAAAAATAGTTCAATCAATGCCGAGGTTAATAGAAAGTCGGACGTGGGAGTTACTTTGTGTTTCGTTTCAGGTGAGAAAATTCAGTTGGGCATCCATGACTCCGTTGAGGATGCTCGTGTTGCTTTAAAACTCTTCAGAAAATGGCAAGAACTTAACAGAGATGGTGGGGATTCTTTGAATGGCTGAATTGTTTTTAAATTCTTTATCTTCGTTTCCATCTGGAAGCCCGGCTAAGTGCATGCCAATACGAGGATTCACCACCGTTCTGGTACCAAACTAGTCGAATGCGGGTAAATCTGCCTCTAATCTACTACGATGGCTACTGCCTGGGGTGGGGACGACCTGAAGATGTCGGCTTAGCTGATCTCGGAACTCTAAGGAAATACAGTGGTTAAGCCAACAAATTTCCAGACAGTGGAAATTGCACTGGGATCCGCACAACCACTGAAGACCGGCCATCCAAGTATCCTATTAATTAAGTATCTTCTTTTCTACACGACCTGGTTTCGTATCTACTATGTGGAGCCCAACACTTCTTGTATTTGATCCGTTTTCTTGCATTCACTCTCTACGGCTACCGCTTGAGAATTGGTGTCTTTTTCATATATGTCAATTGATGTTGGTCAATTGGGTTTTACCTTAAATCCTGAGATCGCTGTGTTGGAGCCCTTATACGTGGAGTGGAGGGAGTTCGCTTTTCCCATGATCGTGGTCTTTCTTCATATGAAAACGGTTTTGTTTGCTTATAGTGACTTCATTATCTCTCGTTCTTGTTTACAAATTCAAAGAACCTCGTCCTTCAGAGATCCACATTACACAGATTTTCATATCGTTTTGTCACCAACTGCTCTTCGACGAAGAATCGACCCACCTTGTTTCAATTCAGACATGTAATTTTTGTGCAAATATAATTGGATATTCCTCGAAGGTCCGAGCCGTAAAGTCTGGCTTGGTGCTGTGTCGGAAGATTCCTATGAGTCCTTCAGGGATTCATGTGTTAAGTGATGATGGTTATTCTCCCAGAAAAGAAAAGTTTTTGTAGAAGATATGCGTTGTTGGCGTGAATGAGGGTACACTGTGGTTTCTATTCTCACTTCGATCTTCTCATATGGTCGTGATCCTATGTAGTCCACAGTTTTTGGAACAACTTCGACCATAATAAATCAAAATTGTAAGGGTAAGCCAGTTCCTGTTAGTGCTCGTAAACTTCGGAGGGTTGGAGGGTTTGGTAGACCAGGGACGCGGGAATCGATCCCACGTTATGCTTTATTGCTTTATCCTTTGATGAGCAAAAATGATGGATTTGGAGTTTTCAAGGTTTAATTATGCATGTTTTATGGTATATTGGCATTTAAAACCTATTTTAATCACCAAACAGTATTTTCAGCATCCCGATATAACTTGAAAACATTTCAGGTTCATTGGAAAGTGTCTTGAATTCCCTCTATACAACGGGAAAACAAATGGGATGGCGTGTCGACCATACACCTCCTTCGAAAAGCAACTCGCCATTGTTGGAGTTTCCACCCACTGGGGATTTTCAGCCTTTACAATAGTTTCGCTTTCGAAAACAAAGAATCCACGAAGATTGCTGTGGAATGCCTTTTGCTAGTTTTTCAGTCCAATATACTGCAAAAATTTTCCATTACAAGATAATCTCTGTTTTCTTTTAATGGCTAAGCCTTATTTTCAACAACTTGCTAAAGGGTATTAGAATATTTCAAGGAATCTGTTTTGGTCTTTCTATTACTGAAAATGTACATATTTTTACTAATGGGTGCAATTTGGTGCATAATCCCATTAAACTGGTTCTAGAATCTCTGAGAAACCTCATGGTGACTGGTTTTTTGTGTTTGTTTATTTGTAAATAAAGTCTTTTAAAATGGTATGCTTTTGTTTCGGATTTTAAGAACAGTTCAAGTGGGATATCTTGGTTTTGTATCGACTTTTTAAAACATGCTTTGATAACTCCAGTGGATGTCTTGCTGCTAGAGTAGTAGTGCTGTAGCAGTGAACGATTCTGGGTTAGTTTTAGCACGTTCAATAAGGGCACGAGACAGGTTCAGATGGCGGTATTACTTTTTTAATCAGCGGAGTCAGTCAGTAGTCGGTTTTTCTCCAGAAAAGATAATTCAGCTGAGAGTTCGTCATTATGTGGTATTCTTAAATCTAATGGAAGTATGATGGCATTCAAGTTATCCAGTTTGACAATGAACGTATTATTCAGAAATGGCGAGACGAGAGCGAAAGCGACGAGGTCGCTGGGAAACCTACAACTCGGAGTTCAATTCGGTGGACGGCTTCTCAAACAGTGCGGTAGATAAGCAGATTGAGAAAGAAGCCTCAGCGCCTGGTCAGTTACTTGGTTAAGTTGTTTCTGGTTTTCAAAAAATTCGAAGGGATTTTTAGTTCCTAAGGCAGCTTCGCAGAATTTAAATGGTGAAAATACAGCGACTGTAGACGAATTTGGTGGAAAAGACTACCGCTCCGAAATGCCACTGAAGGTATGCGATATTTTATCTCGAAGTGAGGGCTGAATTTTTTTTTGTTGGAATGTCGCGTATGTTCAATGAAAATGTTTAATAAGTACTGGATATGCTGCATCCTTCCCAGGGCCAAATTGCCATCTGTATCTGGAATCTGGGAATCCCAATTTTTCGTATTTCCACAAAGGTCTTTGAAACAACTTGTGTAGTGCGAACTTATTTAATATTCCAGAGCTTGCTTTCATCGTCATACACTGTGAAACAAAGTGAACACTCCTGTTAATGGGTGAACAATCCCTTAATGGTCTTATTGGGCTAATGAAGTCAAATTCTCTCTTGTATGAAATAAACCTAGTTCAGTAATTTTAGTGCCACCGAATGTGCATTTCCACAACAACATCTATATAAGTGTCCACAATAATTTGCCATCTTATAGTGGTAAGGCGTGCCAAATAGAAGAGATTGGGTGTATAAATCCAATGGAGTAAACCTCTGTCCTACACGCAGCTATCTCCCCACGGGACGATCAACCTCGTCCGGAAAGTGGTTTTTTGTGAATTATTATCTTTAGATCCTCCCAACGGTCTACCGCCTCATCATGGCTGGGAGGTGTTCTCGTGGTTTCGGACTGCGATGAACAGCAGGGGTTCATTCCCCCCAGCAAAGCCCTCCCAAGCTGAAAATGGGTCTCACGCTTCCATCTGGAAGCTAGATAAGGGTAAAGAAATACCAGGATCCATTACCGTCTTGGTACCTTCACCTCAAACCAGACATTGTGGTAAATCTCCTTTTGGTGCACAAGGGCGGCGACTGCCTGAGGTAGTGACGACCTGGATAAGACTTTGCCTAGGTTGAGCTTAGGACTACAGGGAAACAATGCCTAACCCGCAGAACTCCGATAAAATAGGGGTTATGCTGGGAGCCGCACAACCAGTGAGGACGGGCCATCCAAATATCCGAGTAATTATTATCTTCAGATAATAGTATTTTTCGTGCGACAGCAAGCCTAACATCTGCGAAGAGGAGACGTTGATAACATCGGAGTATATAGCAAAAGTCTTTTGGAACAAAATTAACAGCCGTACAGAATTGCGACTCGTGTGTAATTCGTGTCGTTGCAAATGTGTTAAAAACATTTATCGCTATGCTTCAAGCTAGCTTATTAATTCGAGGAATTTTGTAGATTTGTTGGAATTTCTTCAGTAATTATCACAAGAACTTCAAACTTTCTTCATCGCTCCAATTAGTGCTTTTAAAGTTTATCGCGGATATTTTTACTTATTATCAGCGCGAATTGGGCGCGCAAAACGCGTTGGTTAGAGACGTTTTGCTATACATGCGTTACATACACAGGTTCAACCCCAACTCGAGTGAACAAGGCTTCACATCCCTCCAAAATTGGCAAGTTGCTACCAAAGTTGTATCTGAATAATCCCCCTCGATCGTCGATCGACAGAGGGCGGTTACTGTGTATGGTTAAGGCCTGGGAACGCTCTAGTAGATCCCAGGATTGCAAGATGAATCACGACAGAAATAAAGTATTCAAGTAGCAGCTGAATCCGAATGCAAATTCGATAACTACTATTGGTGATGGTTGTGTGATGACGAACCGAGCGAAACAAGTGTTAGGGTTCGCATAATATTTGTATTTGAGTGAGGTATTGTCCAAGTGTGCTTGTTTTCCGCCACATATCTAACACCTTTATCAGTCGTTTTATTTATAGTACAAATTATAAATAGTTTCCAATAAGTGGATTAGTGAAGATGTGAGGTAGTGTTCAGTTTTCCAAAGTGTCAAATACTTGTATATATATCCATCTAGACGCTGGGAGCACACTTCACAAATTCCGAAAAATTCTGTGTTAACTCTCGTAGATTACTGCCCTTGCCTGTTTTTTTAATGTTTTTTCTAATTTTTATTCCAGCCAGATCATGCTTCTCGTCCGTTATGGGTGGCTCCAGATGGTCATATATTTCTGGAGTCGTTCAGCCCTGTGTACAAACATGCGCGAGATTTTCTTATCGCCATATCAGAGGTTTGCAAAGTTCTTGAGAACTTTCGTGGTCTTTTCTGTTGCATTTATAACTCTTCATTTTTCTCTTTCTTTTTAATACTCCTACTCACTTTCTAGCCAGTTTGTCGACCAGAGCATATCCATGAATATCAGTTAACAGCGTATTCCTTGTACGCTGCAGTTTCGGTGGGACTTCAGACGAATGATATCATTGAATATTTGGAACGCTTAAGCAAGAGTGCATTGCCTAAAGGCATAGTTGAGTTCATCAAGGTTGGGCTTTTTTTTCTGTCCTATCATATATAGTTTAGACATTCTGTAACTGAAGTTACTTGTTATAGATGTGTACTCTGAGCTATGGAAAAGTGAAGTTAGTATTGAAACACAACCGATATTTTGTTGAATCACGTCATTCTGATGTGATCCAGAAGCTTCTGAAAGACAAAGTCATTCAGTCATGTATACTTGAGGACGAAAAACCACTTGAAGAAACGCAGGCTGGTGTATTAGAATACGCCTGTGTTACTGTAGCTGATAGATGCTTTTAGACGCAAATTGAGCAAATAAAATTTCCTCAAGAACAACGGAAAGAGGAGGACAAAAAAGCCGAAGGAGAAGACGTGGGTGTATTTTTGTTTACTGTTAAGGGAGCCTATGGCTTCTTGAATCACACCACGAACTTTCGAAACGGCCTACTCTGCTCGTCTTTGTTCAGGCCAAATCTCTATGCATTCCTTAACATTTGCAACTCCACGAGTAAGTCTCGTTGGTCTTTTCGTTGTACGTGGTATGAATCGAACTCAGCTCTTACCAGTCAATTTTCCTCCATCTCGAAACAATTTTCTTCACTCTTCATCGTACTTTTCACACCTTTAATCGATTTCCTATGTTCTTCAGCACTTTTTTGTATTTTCTGAGTACATTCTGAGTTCCGTGCATCTGTTTTTGTTTTGGGTACACTTCGAACTGTTATGATTCATCAAGAAAAAGCTCTTTAACCATCCAACCATGGTGCTGTTACCTTCAGCACCTAGTTTTACAACATATAATGGAAAAGTTTTATTACAGCATCGCTAAATTTTTTTTGTACCTTCTCATTTGCTACAATAGCTGTGGTTCATCTTCGCGATCACACAAGAACGAACAATCATGGAGAGGAAATTCCGAAAACTGTGCAGAGTTGTTGAGTTCAAGACTCAGGTCTACCTAAATTTGTTTCTGGTTGGTAGATAACTATACCCTAAAACGGCCATATTCTAGACGATGGGTTGCCTAAAAATGAAGCGTTGGGTTCGCTTTACAAGAAAATAAGATGTCACTATTCCATATTTTTTGGCATCCAGATTGGCGCTGGAGGCGGCTAATGGAAATACAGTATTTCTAGGCCGACTTTCCTTTAACCTCAGTGTGACTAGTCAACATGTATTCTTTCTTTTGACACCACGAGGTTGACAAGCAATTTTTGTTCCGTTAACGTTTCGATGTCTTTGTCATCATCATAGTCGGTGGTCCGAGTCGTTGGTCTGCAGTTGTTCGCCTTCTCGATGTCGCGTCTTCGTCTTTGCATCCAATCAGATCTTCCTCAGTGGAGCATTGTCGGTGTTACAAAATATGATGTGAATAGAGTGCTGATTTTAATAATCTCAGGTGATAAAGTGGATCTAACCGTGTGGAAACAACGTGGTGAACGCGTGTACTGTTCGCCTATGTGCGATAGCTTGGTAACCTCCTCGCTATCAAGTCTCCTGAATAGGCGATGGTTTCACACTCTATCTTCGTATCAAGGAGTTTAGAAGGTGCTCCGTTGGCGATGCTCTTCATCACGAGTATTGATTGCGGTGGTTCCACCCAGCAAATGGCCCACCGAAGCCTGCCATCCCTTCGGATTCGAGAGATTGGTTCCAGACTTGTTTGGAACAACTAATTCCCTTTAATCTAAGTGGTAACGCTCTAACCCGGTTACCCCTTCATTCCAGTGAGTATCGAATCGACCAACATTCAGTGATATTCATAAGGAAGGCAAAAATCCTCAATCAGCAGCCGAACTAAAAGGTAAAATTTCAAAACATCTTTTTATCTTCTCACCAAAAACAATCTAGCCGCCGCATTAACTAACTATGAAAGACAGTTTTTCGTATGGTAGAAAATGTAGAAAATGTGTTTTCTCCGTCGATGGGTGATTTGGCATCTGTATTGGGTTATCTATCGCCTAAATGCGGAATTTAAAGCACTAATGGTGGTATTTACGGTAAAAAAAACAGCTAGAAAGAATATTAGATGAACCAAATTCGCACCACTATTGCGCCCATCCCACATGTGTGAGTTGAGACCAACTCACGTCGGGCTGCGTGGGTCCTGTATTTCATACGTTCGTGATAGTGTGCATGTAAAACTCAACGTACAATGCACACTTATTTCAATACTTTGTCTTTTAAGTGGTTTCCTTTATCTCACAGAGTTTTTTGGCCATACTTCTGTTTAATCAATAACTCCTTGATCACAAATGTTGTATGAGGCGTTAACCAGGAAAAGCTATGTTTTACACTTAGTAATTTGCAAAAACAAATGGTCTGTTCTGAAGAGTTTGTTCGTCGAGCCACGGCGATTAATACGTGTAGGCGTTGGATAAATGTCATAGATGAGGGGCATACTATGATACCTCTGCTACACAGATACAGGTACATATTTCTCGCAACTGGTAATTTCCTTGTTTAACCAACGCTGTTGCAAGAAAACTACCACTTATGAAGAGAGTATTTGTTGTCTGGATACACATTAATTTCAATGCAGTCTTGAGGTGGTCCAAAAATTAAGCTCCGTACTACGATATGGGCACCGGAAATTGAACGTTGTCACAATTGTCTTGAAAGAGTGCAGAAATGGAATACGAGTTTGAGGATGGATCCTTGTCACTGAGCAACACCGTGAGTGCTATGCTTTCATTCCTATTCCAGGTTCCTGAGGATATTGGGCAGCTGTATGGTAAAATTGATGGCGATGACGAAGAAGATGTTGAAATTCGCAGTTTGCAGTTGCTAACTTTCGAAATAAAACAGGTCGTACATTCTAACTGTAGTGATAGAAGAACTTCTCAGTGAGATTCGTTGTCTTCAGTCTTCACGTTGTTTCTGAAATCTGATGCTTTAGGAGAGCATCGAGAAAGTGCAAAAACGTTGTATTGAGTTGGAATATCCTTTGTTGGCAGAGTATGATTTTCGAAATGACACTATGAATCCAAATCTTGGTATTGATCTGAAACCTTCTACGACGTTGCGACCATATCAAGAAAAGAGCCTTCGTAAAATGTTTGGGAACAGTCGAGCCAGGTAGTTTCTATTTCTTCAAATTTCTTACGACCCATCTTTGTTCATCCAGAACTTCCTTCGTTTGGTTCCTTATCTTGTGTCCGTCATCTACGAATATCGAGTTTACGTTTGAGTTCTGCTTTTCCTTGAGGATTTTGTCTTCCTCATAAATGCCGTTGAATGATGATCGAGTTGATTCACCCTGAAATCCTAAGGTAGCCGTACTAGAGCGTGCAAAAGCCATCATAGGGCGTCACATGCCTTTTTAAGGCGAAGGGAGCTTTTTCCAGGCAAGTTTAGTGCAACTTTGCGAATCCGGAAAATATTGGGAAATGGGGAAGGCGCGTTGGCTCGTGGGAGCAACGACCATCCGTGTATATGAACACTGTTTTGACTTTTATTTTTCGTCCATTTTTTTCTTGGCAGGATATTATGTGAAATCTTACCGCAAGGATGGTGAGATTTGACAAACTCGGGACCTTCGCTTTGCGAACCCGCGATTACTCTTTCCGGTGGCTCACATGTTATACCGGTGCACCAACCGAGGCCCTTGCTTTGCCTTTCTCGTCCAATTTTTTGTGCTAACGATACTATTAGCAACCAAGTTCACTGACAATTGTGCTCACCAAATCACTCCTGTTGGTGGGTGATTCTTGGTGACACCTTTATGGTAAAAAACTGGCTGAGAGAAAGGCAAAGCAAAGATCTCGGTTGGTGCTATGGATAACATGTGAGCCCCGAGAAGAGTAATTACGGGTTCTAAGTGCACATGAAGTTCCGAGTTTTCCTCATATCTCAGCATCTTTCTGATTACATAAACATTATTACTTGTTCTAATTTGCCCCTACACTCTCCGATTAGTGGCTATGTCTGTTTGTTATTTGCCGTTTTTTAAGTTCTTTTTCTGTTTTATTTCCTATCAACTACTAGAAGTTCATGCAACCTAAGCTTCTGTTTCATTGGTTCGGAAAAAAGGTCTTGAGATCTGGCGTCATTGTTCTTCCTTGCGGAGCTGGAAAAACGTTGGTGGGCGTCACTGCTGTAACTACAGTTAACAAACGATGTCTTTGTCTCGCAAATTCAAACGTTTCCGTAGAACAATGGAGAGCTCAGTTCAAGGTGAAGTTGAAGACCTGTATTAATTTTGTCCTCATTGTTACCACTTTTAATGAAAGCCGCTATATAGTTATGGTCTACCATTACGGACAAACAAATTGTAAGATTCACCCGTGAAGCTAAGGACAGCGTGCCTCAGGGACCAGATGCAAGCAAGGTAATTTGTCCTGTTTTATTGCTTCTACCTGTGTAATTGTTGCTATCTATTTAATTGTTTATAGCCAATAGTTTGTATCAGTACCTATTCTATGGTGGCATATGCAGGCAAAAGAACCTTTGCTGCAGAAGAGGCAATGAAGTTCATTGAAAGCCAGGAATGGGGCTTATTACTGCTAGATGGTAGGAATATTCGGAAGTTTTTGAAGTGCTAATATTAACATGATGCTGAGATATTTGTAAAACTACGGACCGCAGGTGTCTGCCGCAGAGAACGAACGCGCTATTGCCGCTAACGCAGACACCTGTGGTCAGGAGTTTTGCAATTATCTCAGCATTATCTTAGTTGTATTTCACATGTTATCCTGCCGTTAAAAATTATAGCAGGCAGTAAATAGAAATGTTAACAGTGCTAATATTTTGCAGCACAATTGTTTGGTCATGGTTCGATTTTTCTGTTCCGTACTCCTACTGTTAGTGGACAAAGTCGTGCTGAATTGCCATTGTTTTGGGTGTAGTAGTGCATTACGAAGGTTGTAGTGCTTTGGATCTATTAAAGTCAACCATTTTTGATTTAGAAGTTCACACAATTCCGGCAAAAATGTTTCGTCGAGTGCTGACAATCGTGCAAGCGCATTGCAAACTCGGTCTCACTGCTACGCTTGTCCGAGAGGACGACAAAATTACTGATCTCAATTTTCTTATTGGTAATATAGGTTCATCCTTCTGAGATTCATTTCTGTTATTTTTCTGCCTTTATTGGTTGTATCAGGCCCAAAAATTTACGAAGCGAATTGGATGGAATTAGAAAAAGCTGGTCATATCGCTAAAGTGCAATGTGCAGAGGTTTGGTGTCCTATGACGTCGGAGTTCTATTCGTATTATTTGAGGTAAGCATATTTTCGAAATCCTCGTTTCGGTTTTAAAGTGTTATGTTGAGCATTTCTTTTTGTTATGGATTAAATCCCTAAGTTGGTTAGCTCCTTTCTACCTTTCGACCTTGCAAATTCACTTTTAGTTCGAGGTTACCATTAAATAAACTGTCTATGGCTTATTCGGTTAGTTTGTCTTTCTTAGTAAATTGTAAATTGATTTCTGTAGAATAAGGTGCCTAAGCGATTTCATACGTTCCCATCATTTTTCCATGCAGTCTGAAATGGGTTGTCGGAGTTGCCCTTTATTATTTCTGGTGACCATTTTCAGGGCGCAAATTGCTCGACGACTTCTTCTAGCCGTGATGAATCCTAACAAGTTTAGAATCTGCCAGTTCTTAATCAAATTTCATGAACGTAGAAATGACAAAGTAAGATGATTTCATGGTTGTAAATTGGAGTTATCAACTATCTTGTATTTTTGAGCTATGTTCTTTAAACACAGATTAACTACTTAGTGTCTTTTCCAAATTACGTATTTATAGCTAAAAGTCTAAATGGGAACAATGTATGGATGGTATAGGCACTTTTTCTCCCTAACATCTCTTTTTCAGATCATTGTTTTCTCGGACAATGTGTTCGCTTTGAAGAAATACGCAATCGAAATGAATAAACCATTTTTATATGGTGAAACGAGCCAGAACGAGCGAATGAAGATTCTTCAAAATTTCCAGTACAATCCGCGTGTGAATACGATTTTTGTGTCAAAGGTCCATCTTCCTCATTTTTGTTTTATTTTATCTCGTTAATGACGAACTGGAAAAGACGTCTTATTTCTTGAAGCAGAAAAAATGACTGGTTGCGATACGGTTTTGGAGCAGGTTCTAGACAAATTATGTTTTGAAAAATTTTCTGCATTACTCTGGGTCAAACGAAGCCCCATCGATTCGGGCAATTATTTGGTACTGGGCAAGCGCGAACTATCATAGACGGAGATGGCGTTAATATTCATCGTGAAGAAGTTAGTTAATCATCGTTATAAGTGTACAGACATGGGTTGGTAAACACCTTTTCAGTTCCCGGTTAAACTATTGTGGACTTTTCACATTTCTATGAAATATTATTGCATAATATTAATATATTTGTCACGATGTTTTTTGGACCCTTATTTTGATAATTGCCGATAGTTTTTCGAATGTAGAATCTGATGACTCGACACACTCCTAGAAGACGGGTTTTTTTAACGCTATATCACTCTAGAGCATGTGTTTATTCTTCATTTCTTATATAACCCACCTTCATATTTTGTGCGGTTTCCAACGATTGTTTCATTTTGTTCGTCGTGTTATGTCTATCTGTTACGGAGATCTTTAGATCTGTTTGCAGGTTTGGCTGTTATTCAGGATTTTGTTTTATTCTTCTTGAATATCATTGAACGATGTTTGAACGAACTTTCTGTAGAGTCTTGGGATTGTTCTGTTAGAGCATTCCCAGGTCTTCGTCATAGAGGAAGGCCATGGAAGGATGGAAGATAGGTGGGCATGTGGATAGGTCGAGCCAGCGAACATATGTTTGTTATTACAGAACATCTCTGTTCACTGCGTTTCCCGCGCTGCTAAAGACATACGTGGCTTTGTTTTTCGCTGACTTATCAGCAGATGTGTTGGTCTTAGGACACCCATTCGTTTCTCTGTCTTGCAACCGTATCCACGAAGGTGGTCGAGTTCTTACTCTGCAACTTTTAGGCTAACTACAGATGCAACTTTTCCTCTTTTATCTTGTCTCAAAAACACGTCGAACGTTGGTAGATTGCGAAATTTACCGCCTTACGACTTGCACTCCTTTGAGTTGGTAGCAATTCATGTAAGGACAACTGCGCTTGGATTAGTTAACAGGCCGGTCAAGTGCGGTGTGGTGTTCCGAATTAGAGCACATATGGTTTTTGTAGAATATTGTTCTTGTTAGCGCGTGCGTAGCGTAGTGGTTTGAGGTGAAGTTCAATACACTTATGGTCTTTGTTTCGGTCACTCACCCCTTGCTCATTAAAACTTTCGTCTTTTCGGTTTTGGTAAATTGGTATCAGACTTGTCTGAGAGGGTAGCAGACTAAGACTTTGCTCTATCACCTCAATCGTATATTCAATTCCTATGTATTATCTTTTATTTTAAGTATCTTTAGAACTGAAACTTCTGAAAAAAATATGGAATGAGAATCCAAGAGATGGGAATTTCATCGTGGTGAAACAGAAGAACTTTTATTTTGAATCTGTAGATTATAATCATTCTTATTGCAATTGGCCACCAAGCCTTCCGTCTCTCTGGGGTCAACAAGTTGGTACCAGGTACCAGGCACCTGCGGTCTGGAGTTTTTCAAATATCTCACCACCATTATGATTAGGGTGCGTGTGGCGCAGTGGTTGGAGGCAGGCCCCGCTGCGACACACACGTGGAATCGATCCCCACGCCCATGGTCCACCAAGCCTTCCATCCCTCCGGGCTCAACAAATTGGTACCCCAGGCTTGTGTAGGAGGATAGCACCACTGGCTCGATACATCGGTAGGCCATCGCGAGTCATTGTAAAGGCCAGATATGCATTCAATCACCTCCAACGATTCTTGATGAAGTCGAATGCATGGCGCATCCCTCAGGGATTGATCAACGCCGAGAGCTTTATCCATTATTTCAATTTTTTTACTTATTGGAGTTGGTAGAATTCTCTATGAATTAAGATATGTTGATTTAAAGTTTAGAACAGCTATTATTTTCGCATCGCATGACTCTGTGGAATTCACGTCGTCGCGAATATGTTGAAATTAGAAGGCTATGATTTTCAGTCACATGTGAGACATCTATGTCTCGTAGTGTCGAGAGGGTCTTAAACATTGTTTTTGCAAATTCATCCAGTTTAAATTACGTAATGTGCAAATCAGTTGGAATTCTACGTCAAACGTTTTCTTCATTATATAGAGGCAGTAGAATTTAGGTAGCTGACACATCTTTCGATCTACCGGAGGCAAACGTTCTTATTCAGATCTCATCGCACGGTGGCTCGAGAAGACAGGTTTAGACTCATTTTTAATCCATAGATCTCAGATTTGATAGGTAACTTGTGCAAAGTTTTCGCTGTGAGTTAAATTAACCCTGCAAATGATTGGGATAAATTGAAATGCAGAATGTTGCTTTTTAATTGTATAAGCGCAAATAATTTCTTTATTACTGGCTCGACCTCGTCGTGTTCGTTGAGAGCTATTAAATGACGTTTTTCGAATGTTTTCAAAACGGTGCCATTCTAAGAAAGTTTCCACTTAACCGCTCGGTTTTTGTTAGTGTTATTGTACACGCAAACATGCTCCACTAATGCTCATTTATTCCAGTTTGGTTTTTGAGAAGTTTTAAGTTATTGTAGAATGAAAACTGAAAATTGTAGAAAGTAGCTTTCAAGTAGGAAATTTAGTAAGTACCACAATGCGTGCGGATTATTTAAGAGCAATGAAAAGCTTACCTATAACGGATTTCCTTTCATAACAGTACTTCAGTATTGCCCAGGTTATTTTCGAAAAGAGATAAATTGAATACACAGGGTGATTGGAAAGCAACTCCTCTTTTTTATGACTCCTATAACTTACTTTTTAATCATAATTTTTAAAAGGAATGCACATGAGAAGAGAGCGTATATCATGGAGATTTATTCAAAATTTGATTTGCGCCCTGGATACGCCACCAGCCCGAGCCAATCGGGAACAGCAGCAACTGATTTCACTACGAACTCTTATTGGATGGAAGGCATAGCTTCTCGCATTCGCCCTTCAAGTTCTTCCAAAGCCGTTGGTTTCACAGAGTAAAAGAGTGCTCCCTTAATCACTATCAAAGAAAAAAGTCGCAGGACGTGAAGTCCGGGTTGATCATTCATGTGAACCATGACGACCATATCTGGGAATTCATCCATTCACGAATAGCTGTAGCAAAGTTTTCCCGTCCAGTAGTGGTAATTGTGACGGTTCACAAACCCCAAAGTTGTGAAATACCGCATCAGTACTTCACAGGTTATTTTTAAAGAGATTAGACTAATCTTTAAACCATGCTAACATATTATATACTTCGAAAAGGATATTAATCTGAGGAGAGATTTCCAGCGGCCTAGACTTCCACGACTCATTTTCTCGTATTTGAGTCGAAAACCTTTTTCAAATCAGAAAGAAGAGTGAGGGGAGATAGTCTCTTGAGCACTTGAGCTTTCCACATGGTGCTGTATGGTGAGACATCGCCACCCATTTGTATACAATGATTACTACCACCCGGCCACCGGCCTTGGCTGTCTTTAGTTTTAGAATTGTTTGATTGGTAGCAGGCTCATCTATTAAACAATGCTATTCCCTGCCTCAGCTAATTTATAAACGGAATACGAATATGGTGCTCAACTGCTGAGAATGCGTACGACTAGGAGTTTAAATAGCAGTATTATATATTTCTGAGCAAATCTATTTATATGAAAATTGTGCTGATTAAACATCCCATTATAACGTTGTTCAGGAAGCCCAACGTTTGGGTAGAATTCTTCGTGCTAAAAAGCATTCCACGGAGCAGTTCAATGCGTTTTTCTACTCGCTAGTTTCTCAGGATACAGTTGAAATGGGTTATTCGAGAAAACGGCAAAGGTGAGTTCATTCAATACTGAACTGGCAGAAAGTGGAGAATTAAGGTAGAAAATTTGTGAACCGTTTTATGATGTGATCCGAAGACGCTTTTATATGGATCATGCATGGTTATTTTCGATAAGTCGTTAGATGTCCTGTCCTTCATGTTCCATTTTTCACCTTTAGGTTTTTGGTGAATCAAGGCTACGCCTACAAGGTTGTGAATCGATTACCGGGTATGGAGAAGGAGGATCTAAAATTCGGAAGCAAGGTTTTTACGGTTAATTCTTAACAGCTTTATCTGGTTGATTATACGTGGTTGTCTCTCTTCTTCAGGAATCTCAGCTTCAATTGCTGCAGCAGGTATTAGCAGCCTCTGATGCTGACGCTGAAGAAGAGGATGTTAGGGAAGAAATGGCCGATGGTAGCATCAAGGTAACTTGCTACCTAGGGTGTTTATTGTTTGAAAAACCGTCCTACCTAAGATTACCAGTAATCTTTGCTCGTCTTTTGCAAACTGTGGAGGATGTTTTATTTTCAACCATTACAACGAAACTTATTGTTGCTATTAGTTATTATTTATTATTATTATTGTTTATTATTATTATTATTACAAATTTAAGGTTAGTCGAAGGGATGTTACCATGGCTTCAGCATCCGGCGGCTCTGGAATTTCATACACAAATAAGCCAAAGGTAAGCATTGATCTAGTAGTACATGGTTCCTATTTAATAATAAGTATTGATTATGTGGAATTGGAAGTTCGATATTTCAGCATTCGTTTGTTGATCGACACCCGCTGTTCAAGAGATTTCGCGATAAATGAATTCGAGCTACTGGTGGACCAGCCTACGCCGGTGTTGTACATATATTTTGTGGCATTAAAATAATAAGATGAAGAGATGCATTAATAATACGTAAATTCATTCAAAGCGACCTTCCATTGAATGCCTGAGTAGAGTTTAGAAAACATGCCTAACCTTCTAAAGGGGATCTCCAAAACATGGTATACACAATTTAACCCCGTTAGTCTTGTTAGGGTAAAAATCAGTTGGAGGTCAAAATAATTATACTCATCCGTTCTTTGTAAAGTTCTGCTAGAAGGTAGCGAAACAGTAGCCCTCCAGAAGCAGGTACGTACTAGCCTTTGCTGTGAGCCCTTTATGGCACCTTTCTGGGAAAAAAAGTATATTGGTTGTAAACTTATTTGGCTGCAAGGAGTATACCTATTTCTGAACCGTTTCAATGGTTTCAAGGCGTTTCCAGCCATGAGCTAATCGTTAAAACTTTCTTCAGATAGGTGTTTTTGTGGTTGTTAGGAATCCGAGCGGTTAGGCGATTGGTGTGAACTATGATGAGTGTGCCAGGCGAGGTAGTGATACTTTGTTGTGAGTTCTGCTGCCACGATTTTATCGATTTTCTGATAATACTTTTCCATTTTAATGATCTAGACAACGTTTAGAAGGTCATAGTAGATTGTTCCATTTAAGCAAGCATGGAAGGTTCTCTTCCAAATGCAAATTTGGCTTCATGAAATATTTCGGTGTTCCATCTTTATCACATCTGTGTACAACAATGTTTGCTGTCGTACAGAAATCCTTCCTTAAAAACAAAAACAACAGAATCTTCAGTGTTGTGGACGTTCTAAAGTGGTAATGTGGATATAATACTGCAAAGTCCTTCGTTCTTTGCTTAGGGTTTATGCAAATTTTAGAGGCCATACGGACCGTTGGCTACGGTAGCAACCACTTCTTTCTTCCCTAGAGTTTAATTAGAAGAGTTTCCCATAGTTAGGAATCAAGTTCTAGTACCACTGTATCACAGAGGAAATAGAACGATTTATCACAAGCAATCCACGATGAGAATGAATGTAGTGTGAAATGTGCACGGATATTTAAACAACATCCAAACATAAACACGAGGAAACAGGCACGATTCGTCAAATTTCCACGAATTTAGTCCAAATAGTTCAAATTAATCAATAGTCTGAATAGTGCACTGTTAGTGGTGTTCGTTTTTTCTCTACTTCTACAACTCTTATTAAAAATAGAAATTCATAACCGAAGAAAACGCCGACTGCCAACGGGTGAGTGCAGGAACATCACAGGTTTAGAAACGACTATATCGTATTGCACTGAAGAACATGAAAGAGAGAGAGAGAGAGAGAGAGATAGATAGAGAACAAGGAAATATGTCAAAAATACAACATGAGAATGAATTCAATCGCTAGGCACGTCCTATCATAAATAGTAAGTATGCGCAGACGACAATCAGACCAGGGACTAAGACTACGGGACTTTTAACGCAGCATTGTCATTCAGAAGTCATCGGTCAGTAACTGTGGCAGTGTATAGCACTACAGCCATGAAAATGCTCTCCTTAAGCGTACATTTAACGTGGATATTCAATGGTGCTACATATCCATTAATACATAAATTCTACAGTACGTCAAACTGTCTGATGTCATTGGCGGAGAGAATAGGCAAGTCGGATTAAAGCATTAGGAGGACGTTAATGCATGGTGGTGAAAAGAAATGCAAAGACAAAGATTCGGTAAAAGCGTTAAATAAATGCTCTCATAACCATTCAGTTCGCATATTAAACTGAAGAACTGAAATCGATAACGATTATGAAAGCATAGAAGCCGGGCGTCGCGTGATGTTGGTGGGTGTGGTGATGGTAGAAACCTCTTAAGACCAACAACGAATATTCAATATCCTCTTTGAGAAATGCAACGAGATGTACTATAAACCTATCCAGCGTCAACAATGCGCTCCAGTAGCAACAGCTATATTCGGGATACTAGGTTTGCAAGTGGAATTCACTCATCACAGATCCAATTTAAGTTAGTTATTAGGTAGATGAGGATACCAAAATAGAAAAAGTTTAGGGAAATCCTACGCTAGAAGTACCTCGGTATGAGGTTATGTACAATAGTTACAATCGACATAACTGAAACACATCACTAACGTCTGTGGAGAATACGGTTCTTTTTCCTACCTAAGACAAACAGACAACAACCCGCAGCACGTTCAATACGTTTTATAAATAAAATTTCTGTTAAATCGAAGTAACAAGCTCCTTTCAAGATTTTCCGGTTTATCCAGGTGCGATAGGATCGGGATCGGATTTGGTTTCTGAAATGGCGACGAGCCTCGCCAAGAGAGTAGAGCTGAGGCTGTCACTGTAGCTGTAGGTATCGAAAGAAGTTCAACAGCCAAGTTTGCAAGAGTAGGACATCGTTGCATACAACTCTGCCAGAACGCTAACGGTGTTTGAAGAGGATTGCCAAAGGATCGAAGCGGCGACAGAAGTGCCTCGGCTGGGGACTGAAATGGATCTGAATGAGTTGGTATAGTGGTTAGACATTAACACCATGACATAAAGCCATCACATATAACAAAAACGGTTTTGAACGCCAAATGTTTCTGATTACCTAGAATTTCGTTTTTATTTCTATAGGATAACCATGTGTGTAAGCAAGCAGTGATAACAAGACTGGCAAGAATGACAGATTTGGAAAGTTGCTTACTTGATATTTGAATGGCCCGTCCTCACTGGTTGTGCGGGCCCCAGCATAATCTCCATTTTTTTCGGAGATTTGCTGGCTAAGCCATTGTGGTTCCCCAGAATCCCGAGGTCAGCCTGGCCAAAGTCTGCCCCAGGTCTTCATCGCCGCAGGCAATCGCAGCTCTTATGGATCAGAGGGAGATTTGCCACCATGCGACTTTGATACCAGGACGTTGTTGGTTCCTGGTATTGCTTCACTCTTAGCTAGGCTTTCTGACGGAAATGCCGAACTTCCTCTCAGTTTGGGAGACTGCTAGGAGAATGAATTCCCCTCTGTACATCGCAGCTCGACACCCAGGAACACCTCCCAGCCACGACAAGGCCACGAACCGTTGGAAGGGATGTGGAAACTATGGAACGAAATTCATTTCATAGAGGACTTTTTGTTTTCTTATGAGGTGCTGGTCTCGTTCCCTTGTTTTGGAGTAAATAAGTTGTAGGATTGCGCACAAAAGCCGTCTAGGAACAAACATGAGGTGCCAAGTTTAACATTTTCGTTCATCGTCCATTTATACCTCCAATCTTTTGCTTGCCAAAAAGCAAACATTCGGTAAGATGCAAGAATTTACGTAAATAAGAGTAGAAATTTGTAAAGACAGGAACCTAAGGTTAAGTAAGAAGAAAACGGCGAAAGCTCTCAAAATATAGACGAATTCTTGAAAACTTCTGCTTAGCCGTGAATAAAAAAGCTCTCGGCGTTGATCAATCCCTGAGGGATGCGCCGTGTATTCGACTTCATTAAGCATCGCTTGAGGTGGTTGAATGCATATCTGGCCTTTACAATAAGTTGCAGTGGCCTAGCGATGTATCAAGTCAGTGCTGCTATTCTCCCAGACAAGCCTGGTACTAATTTGCCAACCCCAGAGGGATGGAGTGCTTCGTGGACCTGGAGCGCGATGATCGGTCGATCTTTTGTGCGTTTCAGGGCACCTCCGACCAGCTACACGCGCATCATAAAACGTACTAGCCCATATTGTTGTCAATATACCTACATCTTCGCGTAATTAGTAATTCATTCCTTCAATAAATTATTCGATCTTCCGCAGAAAAGCCCAGTTTTTTAGAACTGTCCAATACCAATGGAGAAAAAATTGTTAAATGTATTACTATAATATGCTAAGCAAAAGACAAACCCCGCTAAGGAGCTCGTCGAAGTAGGAAGAGAGTGCGGCTTCTGTGATACGATCACGCATCGGCTGCGAGTTTCGCTCCTGAATTTGTGAAACCAATGGGAAAAAACTGACTAGATCCACAAAATAAGGCGCAAAAGTGACAGCACTGTACAACAGAACTGGGACCACTCTTTTAAAAGTAGCGACAGCCACTGTACGATACGACTAACAATACTATTTGTATAAGCATTACAGCAGCGCTATTATCTAAACCCACTACACGTCCTCAATTAACAACTCACGAGTACCTGCAATATGTGCATATTGTAGTCCCACTTTTGCGAAAGCGCCCACATTGTCTTAAAGTACAGTCTGTTAAATGACTATGGCGCCGACGCAATATAAATACACAAACAGAAACAGAATACTGCATAGGCCAAACGATACGGCAATGTTCATTTCGGTATATGAGTCATACAACCCCTTCAAAGCTCCCGATATCGTTATGGTTATCGAACTACCGAACCTGGTGCATTCTTTGGGCTTGTTGAAGAAGATCGGAATAGATCGGCAGTGAATCGGGTGATGACGACAATACAGAGGCCAGCAACGCGTCAACACCCAATGAGGATGGAGTCGTTGGTTGACGGGAGTAAAGCTGAAATAACAAGTTTCCTGCACAAGCCCATAAGATGGATAAATGACGAGCAAGCACCTCTTGTTCAATCGCAGATCGTGCATACGAAAGCTGTTGTTCGCTCAGAAGCACAGCGAGTTGTGGATTGAGAGCTGTGGCCTAAAATACAGATATCCATCATCATAAACACATAGTTGACTATCACCTTCACATTCGACTCTCACTAAAGTACTCCATATTTCGAAAGTGATTACTTCGCAGCTTAGCTCAAAGCAGTTCCTATTTGTAATGGTCCATGGCTTAAATAGATTATATCGATCAAATATAACAGTTAAATACCCAACCTGGATATAAGTGCCATCGAATTCTTCGTGGTTAACGTCAATAATGTAAGCAAGGCGTTCGGTGATAGCGTCCTTCAGTTGACCGGCCAAGGCACCAAGATCAAGAGAGTCCTGTGCATGATGAATGTTCAAACTGAGCCATTATTCAATTTCAGTCATTAGAACGATAAAAGGATAAAGCTCTCAGCGTTTATCAAACCCTGAGGGATGCGCCACGCATTCGACTTCGTTAAGCATCGTTTGGAGGTAACTGAAAGCATATTTGGGTTTCATAATGACTTGTGGTGGGCTAGCGATGTATCGAGCCAGTGCGGCTATCTTCCCAGACAAGTTTGGTAACAATTTGTCGAACCCGGAAGGATGGAAGGCTTGGTGGCCCATGTGCGCGTGGATTCACTCCATATGTGCGTTGCAGGACGCCTCCGATCATTGCTTCTTCTGTCATTATAAAAGTTAAATTGTGAAGGGTAAGATACCAAGTAAACGAACATAACCCCACTATACGTATCCAAGAAACCTTCGGCGATATGCTACGCTACTAGCGAAAGCATGCAAATGATGTATACGTGTAGAACACATTGCAAATATGAAGATTCATAATATTGTAAATCCACTCATTCTCCCATTATACTTACCGTTTTTACCACGTATAAATCGCAGAGTTTGAACAGTCTAGAGAATGGAAAGAAACACCTACGACATCGCACTATAAGTTACATTCCCAGAAAACTATACTATTCCAGTAGGAATCTTCCAAAGTAAAGTCCACCGATTCAGTAAGCATTTCGTTCCTCATCTATGAAAGGTTCATTCCAAAAAAGACCACTAGAAGCCTTGTCATTCATCGGAACTTTCCAAATCTGAATAGTAACAGCTAGAAGGTTCTGAAGAAGATGGGCGAAGCCAGGTGTTCCCATATTGGTACAATCACCGACGTGATAACCAAGATAGGCATAATATCAGGTAGTTCAAAAATAAATACGCGTTTCAACTATATTATTTAAAATGTCACAACTTGCTTCAAAACTTTATTAAAGACAATTTAAATCTACATCTACACTTTTTGACAAGGAGAAACAAGTATAGCGGATGAGGCAAAGTTACGTAGCCCAACTCGTTCAACTTCGGAAGCGCTGATTCTACTGCATGAAGCCGGGTGTTGTCGTGGAGAAGGATTGGACCTTTTCTGTTGACTAGTGCGTTGATGTTGGAGTTTACGGTTCATTTCGTCCTCTTCTTAGCAATACTTCTCTGCTGTAATCGTTTCGCTCGAATTCAAAAAGCTGTGATGAATCAAGCCGGCTGCAGTCTGGTCGCATCCACCCATTGAGCCATTGAGCTGAACGTCGCCGCTTTTCGTACAGAGTCCATTTCTTGTCGCTCGTCACAAATTGATCAAGAAAACTGTCGTTTTGCTGCACAGAATAAGAGCAGATGACACTTCAAAACAGCGAATTTTTTATCATTGTTTAATTCGCCTAGCACCCACTTGTCGATTTCTTCTTTCCTACGCGATTTAAGTGAGTGAAAATGTTCCCGTGCCTACGCCAAGGTGATCTGCATGCACTCAAACAGGTTGGAATCTTGGGTGGGAACTGGGCTTTGCAAATGCCTCAGCGTCATTGTGGTTCTGTTTTATTTCACTGCAAAGTCCTCCTGAGAAATAAACTGTAATAATGAATATTACATGTTGGCATGTTTGCTTCCAGTAGTGCATTCAATTCGTCGTCGTCAAGTTCACTGGGACATCCACGGCCTTCCTTATCTTCGAGGTCGAAATCACCAGATCGGAATTTCCGGAACCATGTTCGCACTGTTGATTCACCAACACTACCTCCACTCCAAACTTCATTAATGTTTGGAGCCGTTTCTGATGCACTACGACAGGGTTTTACTCATAAAAGAAAATTTAACGAAAATTCATTTTTGACATCTAAAATTCCAAAATTCAAAATTGGTAAAAAAATTGACGTCTGACAAAACACAAAAAAACGATTAGAAAGAGATAGAATCAGCTTTCTAATGATATATAATATTGCAAGCTACAAAGAATATGTTACTGGTAAAAAATACATTAAAACAATAAATATTTTAAAATGCTTATTTATTTCTGAACAACCTAATACAACACTATTCTAAAGTCACCGTAACCTAAACGAAAAACGTCACGCCCATCATGAACGTATGACCAATGAACAATCAGAATACGATTTACGGGCGCTACAAGTGAATGAGCAGTTGTTAACACTGGGCAAAAATTCAATAAAGGATGAAGGATAAAGCTCTCGGCGTTGATCAGTCCCTGAGGGATGCGCCATACATTCAACTTCCTTAGGTATCGCTTGGAGGTGACTGAATGCATAGCTGGCCTTTACAATGACTCGCGGTGGCCTACCGATGTACCGAGTCAGTGCTACTATCCTCCCAGACAAGCCGAGTCTGATACCAATTTGGCGACCCCTTGGAGGACTGGAAAAACGAATGGAGGGCTTGGTGAGCCTGAGACGTAGGGATCGATCCCATGTGTATTGCAGGGTGCCTCCGACCACTATGCTACACGCGCTTTAACATTCAATATCTCTCGCAATTTTTTACTCGATCGTAATACAGTATACCTTGTCGAGTGTATGGATTATCTGCTTGATCGCTGGCACAACAGTATCAACTGTATGACATTCACCGTCTATCAAACCGTTGCAGTATTGACGAAACAGAGCAGACACATTGCACAATCCGCGCAGTTGAGTCCTGAAACCAGAAACTATCTGTCAAACGACTTCTACAAGTTTGGCTCATAACAGGATCCTAATTCAGCATCGTACAACCATCTCATTAGAACATAATATGTCTACAAGTACTGCTTCTCTCTAATTGAGAACCTGTCCAGCCAGTATATAGTGCCTTTAACAATATGTCTTCCACCTGTAAAATAATGTGCCTTCTAATTTTGGAATTTTACAACAGGGTCGATGGTATAACCTACATTAGCAGTTAACTAATGAATACTCCAGTAGTAAACAGAATGCCACCATTTGTCACGGTCGTCCACCAAAAATACTAAGCATTCACAAACACCCAAATGTTCCTAGAACGTCTACCTAACGCGTCTCATAATAACGCGTACGTGATGGAGTCTTTCGACGTTACCGCACTGTACACCAACGTATCGAATGACTCCGCAATGCAAGCCATCTTCGAACTTCTTGTTGAACATGAAGGAAGAATAAATATGCATGGTTTGACCATCCAGCAGCTAATGGCTCTCTTAAAGGAGTGCCTAAACTGCTCGATCTTCAGATGGTCTGGGAAATATTTCGCGCAAATAAGGGGGTTGGCAATGGGACAGCGATTGGCACCAAGCCTGGCCATTGTGTTTATGTCTAAGATAGAAGCCCCTGTTCTCGATCTCTGGCCACTACTCTACTGCAGATATGTAGATGATTGTTTTGTCGTGTTCTCTACGCAGGAGGAGATGGACAAATGCTTTGAATTATTGAACGAGCAGTCTGAGTACACAAAGTTCACCAGGAAGAAACCGAGAGAAAACTGGCTTCCGTTTTTAGACGTCCAAATAAACCTATCAAGTAGCGGTTACCTGACAAAGTGGTATCGAAAGCCAAGTAACAAGAACATCCTTGTCCATTTCCTTTCTTCCCACCCTTCACACACAAAGAGTGCGATTGTGAGAAACATGTTTCGAACAGCCACCTCTGTGTGCACAACTAGGGAACTAAAGGAAGAATCGCGCGACTTGGCTCAGCAAATAGCCATCTCCAATGGCTACGAAATAGTAACCCCACGAGATAAGTTTACAAGGAGAACGACGCGCCCACGCGAAACACTTGGCCAAAACAAAATCCCGTTTGTGTTGCCTTTTATAAGCGATGAAGTAAGCGCAGCTATAAAACGATGCTTAAGAAGGGCAAGTCTAGAGGAATCGGTAGCGATAGTTGAAATACCACCGACTACTCTACGTCGTCAGTTAGTTCGTAACCGCCTGTATGACCGACTGTGTGAAACAACAAATTGCGTAATTTGCCCTTACGGCAGGGACGGTGATTGCATGAGTTCAGGTACGATATACCTGACCTCGTGTAACAATTGCGGAGATGAATATATTGGCGAAACGGGTAGACCCCTCTGTGTCCGCATGAAAGAACACCTAGCCGGCAAAAATAGACCAAATACCCCGCTAGGCACGCATAGGACCCAGAGACATAACGGGGACGACTTCGAAATATGTGTCACCATCCTCGCACGCGAATCGGGAACACAGGCGCGAAAAACCCTCGAGGCACTCTGGATTAATTCCAGAAATCCGAAAATGAA